ATGCCCGGCATTCCAATGCTGGAGCAGGAAAGCTTGAAATACCTACCAAAACACTTGAATACAGACATACTGTCAGAAATGCTTCTGTGCAGGTGTTAATCAAGTTAAATCCCAACAGCCAATCAGCAAGAAGTATAGAGGAAAGCTGCATGCCTATTGGTTGATGCCCTGCATTCCATTGTGATGACTCATGCCCAAACGTGGTAAACAAGGCACACTTACACAGTAATACATTTGCTATAACACAGCCAAAAAACTCAAATAAAACCATTCTAAAAGCCTGTATCACAATAATTTAAAAAACGCCTAGGGGTATTTGCCCACTGTACCTCCATACCAAATTTCAGGACCTTGGGCCCTAAAATGAAGAAGCTGAATCCATTTAAAAAATGGCAGGAGGAGAAGGAGGAGGAGAAGAAGAAGAAACATCAGAAAAAGCAATATGGTTTCACCACACCACTTCGTGGTGTGGTGAACCCATAAAAATAGTCTGAGGTACATCTACGGGCAGACAGTCACGCAGCTTACACTAGCAACATGTCGACTACAAGTAGACTGTTATAACAAGTCTACTGACGCCTTAAAGTAGAGACTGCGTGTATCTAGCAGCGGTAAGGCTGATGCCCAGAAGATAGACGATTAATGTCAAGACTGTGCATGATCTACAAAATGACTAATACACTGGTGGATGGAGGAACTACTAAGAACTTTATTCCTGTCCAGATAAGAACAAGAAAGAGCCACGCCTTTACGTAGCTTAACTGAAATATCAATGCAGGATTGCGGTTTACAACATCACAACTTTGAAATTTGTTTTTCTGGAACTTTTGTAGACTGAAACTCGTTGCCCCGAGTACAATAAGTGTGTGTGTGGGTGGGGGGGGGCGGGGGCATCATCACCAGATAGCTTGAAAAAACACTTGCAATTAGATGTGCAAAAGTTAAATCTGTATCTGTATAGCCGGTATAACCGCCTTTCGGCGTAACACACCAGCTTCGCAGGCACGCGGCGCGGCGGCAGCTGGCTATATTACACCGATCGACTTGTTACACCTAACCCTTGAACTTCTAGCTCTAGACTTTGTTGAAAGCTATCTATTGACAATGCCCCTACTGTACTTGGTGACAGTGAGTTCCACTCTGCAGTAGTTCTAGGAAAGAATGAATTCTTGAAACACCTCAATCCTTGGTTGATAACTCTGGTACTTGAAGGCATGGCTTATAAATCGGTTATACCAAGAAGCTTTGAAAGAAATTTTAAAAGCTCCTTGGTTCTACCGGCTACAACGTTACAGACACAGACCTGGGCATCGGGAAGTTCCTATGCCGAAAGGTACGAGGTAGTGACGGAGCTTCTTGCCGTTCTTGTAGAAGGTGGTCTTTTCCTTCCCGTTCTCAAGATAGCGGTCGTACTTGAAAGTCTGAGGATGACACAGGGTAGACAGTGTTGTAATATCTGCCACACATTGACATTTACACATCGGTAAGTTCAAATCTCAGAAATGAATATGGAAATTGATACTATCTAATATTTGATCCTACCTAACATTTTTATTTTATTAGGTACTTTAAGGCAGTGGATAATGAATAGTCCCACATTCTGCATAATTAGTGGGTTTTGTGATCTTAGTAGAAACGTAGTCTTTTGGTGGTCTTCTAAATGACGAAATGATGGAGAGATTGTTGTAACTGTCTGAAATAATCTGTTTCTTTCGGTCTCATAGTGAGGACACTGGCTAACAAAATGTTTATTATCTATTCCTGATGCCTAATCTCCACCTTAAAGCTTGTTCATAAAAAGATGACTTTTAGACTTCCGGGAAGTATGCAATCGTCGACTTCCTGAATTCCCCATGTCTTCTGGTCAGATTCTGAGACCTTTTACATCTTTTACATCATGTTTCGAAAAAAGAAGCCGAACCCAATAAGTTAGAACTAGAGTTAAACATTAGATTCCAATATTTAGGCTAGAGTAGTTACATGCTGTATAGTTACACATTGTCTGTTCTTTGTATGTCCACTTACATGTACTTGCAATTAGCCCACGGGCAAGAACTTGCAATAAACTTATCTTATCATTCTGCCTGTCAATCTCTCCCCCCACACCCACGTGCTGTCAACCTACTCCGTCCAGACAAACAGACAAACACACTATATTCAGCCAACCAAAAACAATATTTCTGTATCCGTGGGTATATTAAAAAAATGTCAACACACCTCCGGATCTTCGTACACTTCCGGGTCCATGTGAACGATCTGTGGGAACAGCGCCACCCTGTCCCCCTTGCGGATCTTGAAGGTACTGCCGGAGTTGAGGGCTATGGTGGTTTCCTCCAGCGCCTGGCGGAGGACGATGGACACACTGCTCACGCGCAGGGCTTCGTTCACTACACTTCCTAAAGAACGAAAGATGGAAAATTATGCTTTTAAAATTAGAGAGGTGACATTTGCAAAGCAAATGCATAATGTTTACCTTCGCATATGGTCTGCTCTGTTAATTCTTACTCAAACACATTCATATATATGGTGACAGGAGTTAAATCTCTCCTGCTATAAAATTGTAACACGATGTAATCCAACACCAGTTACCATGGTGATATACGTCTGGTTCAGGTCATTGACCTTTTGTGTTTGGAGAAGAGGAAACTGAGCAAAACAATATATTTTCCTTCGGTAAACATGATTATGTTGTTGTTTAACGACGTACACGTACATGTTTGCCATGCTGTCAGTGTTAGACATGTTTACTTGATATTCTCTTTCTTATTAAATGATTTTTTAGTTCGCAAGGTGGTCTTGTGTTTGCAAGGTTGTCGACTTAGAATATGAAAGTTCTGCGTTCGAATCCCCAGCAGGTCCCAATGCTGTGCCCGTATGGAAGGCACTTTGCATCTATTGCCTCACTCAACTCAGGTGAAAATGACTACCTTGCTTCGGTTAGGGACGTCCTCTCAGACAACAGGACGTAAAGCCAGAAGCTCCGTGTTTGAGGAGAGCCACACCTCCAGCACGTTAAAGAACGCACTAATCATCGACAATTTTGTACGACCGATATATGCACAACTGTCCAAAGAATACAGTTAGGTTACGATCGTGCGGCAATCGTGTGCTGATCGTACGACGGTTGTAAGATGATCGTACGACGGTCGTGCAAAGATCGTATGACGATCGTACAACGATAGTATGAAGGTAGTATGTCCATTGTACGACGATCGTATGAAGGTTGTATGTCCATCGTACGACGATCGTATGAAGGTTGTATGTCCATCGTACGACGATCGTATGAAGGTTGTATGTCCATCGTACGACGATTGTACGACGATCGATCAAAGATTGTATGACGATCGTACGAAGGTCTTGCGACGAATGTGACCGGACCCTTACCGAGACAAGCCATGTCGGCTAGCTGTTGCCTGGTGAAGTCGATTTTCTCCCCTCCATCCCGGAATCCAGACACGGTCTGCCCCGTCTCCTTCAACAGCTGAAAGTATCAACAAAATATAATATATAATTCAGCCAATCAGGATCGTCAGCAACAAACTTTACGTGCTAAAGCAGTGCTGTGTAACTTAATGTGGTCATCTCAGTGACTAGTATTGTATGAAGAACCGTGGCTGGGGCAAATCTATGTTCTTGGATACGGGAAGACTATCCAGAACCGTGCCTGATCCTCACTCTAACCCATTCAACTAGATAGGCACCGTTCTGGATACGATAGTAGTATAGTATCCAGGATGATAGTCATTCAGCACCAAGGAGAGGGTGCTGCGATACTAGTGCTTTGTTGCAATCTTCCCGGCCGTACAGGCAAGCCCGCCATCCTATCAATCTTAACTTCCAGGGACCTGAATAGTGGAAGGGCTGCTAGAAGCGTGATGTAGCCAGGCTAGGGGCTTGACCAGTGGAAGGGCTGCTAGAAGCGTGATGTAGCCAGGCTAGGGGCCTGACCAGTGGAAGGGCTGCTAGAAGCGTGATGTAGTCAGGCTAGGGGCCTGACCAGTGGAAGGGCTGCTAGAAGCGTGATGTAGTCAGGCTAGGGGCCTGACCAGTGGAAGGGCTGCTAGAAGCGTGATGTAGTCAGGCTAGGGGCCTGACCAGTGGAAGGGCTGCTAGAAGCGTGATGTAGCCAGGCTAGGGGCCTGACCAGTGGAAGGGCTGCTAGAAGCGTGATGTAGCCAGGCTAGGGACCTGACCAGTGGAAGGGCTGCTAGAAGCGTGATGTAGTCAGGCTAGGGACCTGACCAGTGGAAGGGCTGCTAGAAGCGTGATGTAGTCAGGCTAGGGGCCTGACCAGTGGAAGGGTTGCTAGAAGCGTGATGTAGTCAGGTTATGCATCTCACTAATACCTGTCAGATGAGTTAGAGACTAGGAAATATCTAAAAGTCAGAGGAAACAATTTCGTACCGTCTCCACCTCCTTCCTGACCGCTGCCATGGCGACGGGATCCTGCAGAAGGTGGAAGAGAGTCCAGAACGCCGTGGGCAGGGTGTTACTCTGTAGAACAAAACAGAAATGAGTGAATGTCGACTGCTTTATCTATTTTCAACAACAACACGATTTCTACTGTATTGAAATACGATAGCAGCCATGATACGGCTGAATTGAGGTCTGACTAGTACATAAAAGCAAAACCAGACACCGGGACTTACTTATATGAAGGAATATAACTGATTCTCCTTCCTTGTGGCCTGACGCAAATTTATCAACCTACTTTGTGCTGATGCCATACATACGCCCGTCTTTCCATTGAATTACCCAAAACAATACTTCCCGAAGGCAAAAAATAATAAAAAATAGAGGTATATTTACCAGAGAGGCCCACATAGTTGAGAAGTGCGCGCCTGCCAGCTCCCTGCCGCTCAGCCCGCCTCCACAGAACACCTCGTCACGCTGTTCTATCAGCTGCAGCACGTGTCGCTGGGACAGCTGGTCCTTGTGCATGAACGTCTGCAGAGGCAAACACACAGGGATTATCAGTTTGGAAACAAACAAAAACACATAAGGAAACAAACGTCTCTCTGGGACAGGTGGTCCTTGTAGCCTGGTTACCAAACCTATTATAGCTCCCGAGTCCTACATCCTCTCCGCAAATAGTCCTTGTGCATGAACGTCTAGAATGTAAACCCGTGAGAATCAACGGTTTTAAAATAAACAAACAAACAAACAAATAAACAAACAAGCAAGCGCATCTCTAGGCCACTCCTTCCCCACGTTTTCAGAAAAACGTAGCAGACGTGGCCTCCCAATAAAACGGACAAAAATCACGCACGGCGGGTTGTGACCGAGGCGTACTGTATGTAAAATGTAACGACTGCAAGTTTGACAATCGCGGAGTTTTTAACTCACCAGAAGGAAGTCCAGCTGACCCTTAGCTTTTCCCAGCATACACCACGGTATTCCGTACCCGGAAGTGAAAAAAAGTGTCTGCTGTTTATACTTCTGTTTCATAATTGCCAGAATTCCACTTTTCTGTGCCTGTGCCGGTGTATGTAAAATGTAACGACTGCAAGTTTGACAATCGATTGATGATTGTAAAGCGTTAAGCATGTGTAGGATAAAAATTGTGTAGAAGTCTAGTGGCGTAGATTCTCAATGTCATTTTATATGATTGTGAAGTCTGTGACTCTGTATTGTTTCGTCTTGTGTTCTTGGAATCCAGGAAGATTAGTCGCACAAAAATTTGTGCGACTAATGGATATCCTAATAAAGTATCAAGTATCAATCGCGGAGTTTTTAACTCACCAGAAGGAAGTCCAGCTGCCCCTTGGCCTTTCCCAGCATGCACCACGGTATTCCCGCCACGACCTGAGGGAACTTCCTGTCGTACTCCCAGAACGTCTCCATGGCGACCATGAACCGCGCGCGCTCCTGCTCCACCGGCTGCGTCTTGTGGCGCCCGAAGATGGTGAGGAAGGACGCCTCGGAGATGATCCGGCGGACGAAAGACCACAGGCCGTCTTTCTTCCAGGCTGTTTCAGGACCTGTGTGACAAGAAAACAGAAATCTTGCTCAGAAGTTATGCTGCAGTGCCAAAGAAAGCCGCCAGGGGGTCCAAAATCTAAAACTTTCCTTGATGGGTCAGAAGATGGTGAGGAAGGAGGCTTCCGAGATGATCCGCCGGACGAAAGACCACAGACCGTCTTTCTTCCAGCCGGTTTCCGGGCCTACGTGGCGACAAAATAAAAGTCATGAAAAAATCATGAGCCTAGAACGCAAATTTCTGCTGCAGTACCAAGGAAAGCCACCAGGGGGCCCAAAATTTAATAATTTTAATAGGTCAGAAGATGAGTAAGATGATCCGGCGGACGAACGACCACAGACCGTCCTGTTTCCATCCAGTTTCCCGGCCTAGAAAACAAGAAGAAAATCATGACCCTAGCACATTCAAAACCTGTTGAAGTTTTGCTGCAGTACCAAGGAAAGCCGCCAGGGAGTACAAAATCTGATAATTTTTTTATATGTCAGAAGATGGTGAGGAAGGACGCTTTGACCTTTCAACATCTGTCTGCCTGTCAATCTCCCTTTCCACCGATGTGCTGTCAACCTACCTTGTCAGGACAAATAGAGACACAGATCCACTGCTCACTACCTGTTTTATCCTGAAGTAGAAAAAAAACAACAGAAAGGAAATGGCACATATGAAGGTGAAGGTTCAAAGGCGAAGGTTCAAGGTCTTACCCATGTCAGCCAACATGGCCGTCTGCAGGTGTCCCATCATGCAGTTCGTGAGCGGGTCCAGGGCGCTGCCCTGTAGATGTACCGGGAAGTAGGCATCAGCCGTGTGCAATATATGCGCTCTTCCGGTCCGCTCGAAATGTGTGGTGCCGAAACCGCGCTCTACTATGTCCATCCCAACCGTTTTAAAGTCAAGAATTCTGCAAGAAAAACACAGAGGAATCTTCATTGATACAACAATAGTACAGGGAAGTACATGTGTACATGTGTGCAGCACGTGCGCTCGGCCCGTCCTCTCAAAATGTGTGGTGCCGAAACTGCACTCCACCATGTCCATCCCAACCGTTTTAAAGTCAAGAATCCTGAAAGAAAACACACACAGAGAAAGTTTAATTTATTGACATAACAAAAATACACGGAAGTAGGCATTCATCGGTGTGTGGTGGCAAAACCAAGAATCCCGAAAAAATAAACACAAAGAAATCTTCATCGACACAACAATAGTACAGGGAAGCTACTGCTATGCTAATTCTTACTTACATTCATACACATGTATATGATGGGACCAGCCCCTACAACTCTGTCCTGCAACTTGCTACATAATGTAACTTGCTACATAATCCAAACACCACAGGGTTTCTGCTACAGCACCAGTTACCATGGTCACAGACGTTTGGTTCAGGTCACTAACCTTTGGAGGAAGAGGAAGACGAAACAGCAAAAACTGTAGGTTTGAATAATTAACCCTGTTAAACGTCGATGAAGGTTAGACATCCAGGTAATACGATACGCCAAAAAACAGTTACTCAAGCAACTGGATTCCAGTTGCTTGAGTAACTGTTTTTTGGCGTAACCCTGTTAAAGTTTGTCGGGCGAACTGCACTTACTTGTGCTGCCGCATGACGTCGCTGTAGGAGTGCGGGTCTAGCACGAACGTGGTGAACTTGCCCGCGAGTTTGACCGTGAAGACGTCCCCGTACTTCTCCTGACGCGACCGGATGAACTTCAGACTGCTAACAAACTACTGCTGTGCTGATTCTTACTACTCTTACTCAAACACATTCATATATGGCATATATATGGTGGCCAGCCCCTTCAACTCTGTCCTGCAACTTGCTACATAATGTAATCCAAAATCACAGAGAGTCTGCTACGGCGCCATTCCCCACGGTGAAAGCTGCATATCATTGGATGAACCGATTATTACCATGCTGTTATTGGTTGAATACTAATGTTGTTCAAAAATTGGTCTTCATTCCCATATGAGGACCCACATCGGCAAATGAGGACCTGTATATACGCCTACTCATCTGTCGCAAGCGACAGGAGATTCCAAGACTAATGTTGTGATGTACAGTCAGGAGCTGCACTTACTTGTGCTGCCGCATGACGTCGCTGTAGGAGTGCGGGTCCAGCACGAAGGTGGTGAACTTGCCCGCGAGTTTGACCGTGAAGACGTCCCCGTACTTCTCCTGACGCGAGCGGATGAACTTGAGGCTGTCGGCGGCGAACTGCAGCGCCACGCCCAGATACGGCACCGGCCCGGCCTCAAGCGGCGGCTCGTCTGGGGATCTGTAGGCAACGGTAAAAAGACAGGCAATGAAAACATACATTGCCATGGCGACGGTGGTTGCTGTTAGGGTTATTGTTTGCATGGCACTGCATGATTTTGAGGAAGACTTGCTACCTGTTAAGTCTAGACAGATAAAGTGCACTGAGTGTATAGTGAACAAGCCCTGGGGTCACAGAAAGTAGGGCATCCGGGGCAGGGAGGCCTTCCCAAGGGTTTCCAGGAATGTGGGCATAGATGTGGGTCAGAGACATGCCTGTGGATATTCCATTCTTGTGGAAAAATGCCTGTACCAATCCTAGAATTCTTGCAGACTGCACACAATACTGTACCATTAGGCTCCTCCCTGAGACGTCGCCAAAAATCCGTCTGATGTTTTGATTTTTAATTATACAAACTTTATTGTACAACAAGTGTAAATGATGTTGCTACAGCTACTATTAGTATATTTTCCACCTTAGTTTTGTTGTGTCAAATATATTGCAGAAATGAGACATGTTGTTTTTTTGTTGAGTTTTAGTGTTGTTCCCCTGTCACGTTCACGCTCATTGCACAACAATAACAAAATCATATAAACTATAACTCTAGTATACGTTACACTAAGACTACAATATTTTACGTCATTTGTGGAATTTCTAGTATAGAGCGCCACGCCGAGCTAAGTACGGCACCGGGCCAGATTCAAGTGGAGGCTCGTCTTGGGATCTGTGGAAAAAAAGTTATTCGCACTCAAGAATGATAAGGCCACACTACTGAATTAATTTTATGGATGACATCCTCTGAAGACCCCTAAAGTAGTGCGCGCTGGCGAATGAAAATTTGGGAAGCAGACCTACCCATGTGGCTCTCTGGTGCAGAAGAATTTTTGACATTGAAATTATAGAAAGTACTTTCATTGGGACTTGTTTTAGTGTAGTTTACCATAGGCTTCTATGGGCAAAGGTAATTGTACTGTCTGCCCTAGATTCAACGATATCGGTCTTTCCGTGTGTCGTAGTTTTGAGCCGATGAAACGTATTGCACCCATTTCTTCTCAAACCTAAGACGAACATTGCAGTAAAAACATCGTAGGTACTTCCACGGGGCTTAATAACGAGGCTAGCGCTGTATCAATAGTTTTAAATCAATATTGTTTCTTCCGCTCAAGCCGTAACGATTTGCAAACAAACGACCTACCGTTTCCTGCTGACGGCCTGCACCAAGATGGCGACCAGCACCAACACCAGACACCCGGCAAGAAGTCCCGAAATCATCTTCGGTCTTCTTCTTCTTCTCTAAAGTGTTCCCGGACTAATAACTGACGATTAGACTGAAAGACAAGAAATGGTCAAACACATATAGCCCCTACCAGGCTTCGGGAGGCGGCTGGAAAGAGTAGAATTTGGCCAAATAGAGATATAACATGCCTGGGGAGTTGGTCCGCAAGAGAGCAAAGTATGCCGCACCAGAAAACTGTACTATAGCTAGCAGACCAACTCCTTTGGCATGTTATGTCAAATTCTATTCTTTCCAGTCGCTTTTGAAGCCTAGTAGAGGCTACAGCACACATACACAGAACAAAATTAGCTTACTGAAGAGCTTCCACTGTTCTTGCCAGAGAAGGCAGACTCTCAGTACTAGTACATCAAAAAGCAGTTACTCAAGCAACTGGATATGATTTTGGAATCCAAAATCATGATTTTGGAATCCAAAATCATATCCAGTTGCTTGAGTAACTGCTTTTTGGCGTATAGTATTACCTGGATGTCTAACCTTCATCGACGTAGCTCAGTACTAGTATTTACACTCATTTTACTAAGGAAATAATTACCAATCTGTCTTCAACATGTACATATATGAACAGTACTAGTGAACTGCGATACGACCGACAGACAACCAGACTTACGTCAAGCACCCGACGGACAGCGCTATTGTCTGCACCTGTTTTAGTGTTTACGGAGAAAATACTACTCGGTATCCCCCATTCACCGTGCATGTAGCGGCCTCGCTCTCTCAATGCCGTGTTTTTGTTGTTTTAACCCTCCCGGCTCTCAGCACTTCAAAGTACCACATGGGTTCTATCACGCGTTGTGACGTCAGGTCCAAGGTCTAAAGGGGGTCTGGAGGGTCTGCATGTCGTTTTCCGCGAGGTGTACATGTAGCTGTTTGTTGTATTTAGAACCGTGCTTATATCAATAGAGCCAAGGCACGGTTCTGGATAGTGTATGCGTAGCCAGAACCGTGCCTGGGGTAAATCTACTCTCCAAGCAGAGGTTGTGGGGGAATGATCGTTAGCTTTTTATACATGGCCGTTTTTTGTCACTAATCCCGTCGGTGGCCGCGGACCTTCTCTGGCTAATGGATACTGCCTGGCCAATTCGATACTGTCTTTTTGCCACCGAGAGGGATGTACTTGGAGATTAGGGTAAATCTACATTCTTGGATACGCGGAGACTATCCAGAACTTTGCCTGACCCAAACCCTAACCCATCCAACCATAGAACTAGATAGGGACGGTTCAAGATACAGTACTAGTTTTACAAGTTCAACGTTAATCGTAGTCGGCCTGCTCGCGTTATCGGCATATTATTCGCCAAGGGTATTTATATAGTTTAATTAGAAATAGATTCGGGATTGGTGCCGTTTTTTCTCTGTTAATTTATTTATATAATTCATTCATTTTCTTCTCTGTCAAGTATACACACGTTGTATACCGGTGTTTTGCTTTGTTTTCTTTTGTTTGGAATTAGCCTATGGGCATAGTCTTGTAGCAAAGATATTATAATTATTATTATTATCATTGAACTGGTCGCTCTGATTCCACGTTACTTGTTATCATCGTTAAATCGACAAATTCTTCGTATCAGAATAACTAGTGTCTTTAAATACGCGTCAGTTTAACGCAAAGCGTTGTCGGCATCCCCCCATGCAGACCCTCGGTTTACTTTACCCCAGAGTGGCTACACTGTTTCTCCATTCTCAAGCAAGTGGGATTCCTTTTAAATGTTTCTCTCCCCAACAGCCCGCATGGACGCTCCTACATAAACAGTCCATTGTTCCGTACGGTTTCACAACACCTTAATTGTGCTTCCCTCGCGCCTTAAGAGAGTGCCTTTTAGCAGTGCCGGGTTAGCCTCTACCAGGCTTCGGGAGGCGGCTGGAAAGAGTAGAAAGTGGCCAAATAGAAAGTTTAAATACCAGAGGAGTTGATCCGCTAGATAGCACATTTTGCCGGACCCAAAATGTACTCTCTATAGCTAGCGGACCAACTCCCCCGGCATATTATCTCTCTCTATTTGGCCGATTTCTACTCTTTCCAGCCGCCTCCCCAAGCCTGGTAAAGGTTAGAGTCGGGTCACTCGCTTGACCCGAAGTTCATTAGTGACTGTTTGTGGCAACAGTCGCTCCTTCTTAAAGTAAACCCTGGAAAGTACCATCAACCTGGTTTAAAGTGTAGTGCAAATTCTTGTCCCTGGACTAATTGCAAGTAACAGGAAAAGAACGAGCAAACAACGAAGCACAATACAATTTTATACAACACGTGGCGACGTCGATGAAGGTTAGACATCCAGGTAATACGATACGCCAAAAAGCAGTTACTCGAGCAACTGGATATGATTTTGAAAACGGTCAGACGTTTCAGCTAGTATCCACTAGCTTTCGTCAGTGTCTGAGAGACCAGAGGGGAAATGCAGGTTTATAAGCACTAACTATTGACATAGGACAGCAACTACTAGTACTACAGAATACCAGTGCAGCAGGTGCGGGAAGCTGTGTGCCTCAGCCTTTGGGCTGAGAAGTCACCAGAGGATCCACCCCACCTGACGGGCTGTGCACAGAAGTCATCATCGGAGACGATGGACAACCAACCATTGACTGATCTACGTAAGCACAATACAATTTCGTACAACACGTGGCTACTCTGAAAGCTGGCTCTACATCGTGACTCATGTTTCTCAGAGACAGCAGTGGATGATGAAAGATCCCACAATTAGCCAACCTGAGCTCGCCTTCTTGTGGGGTGTACGAACGAATGGCGCGCCATTTTCACCACTCAAATCTCCAGAATATTGTTCCTAAAGCTAAACTAATCTCCAAGCAGATCCCTTTCGGTGGCAAAAAGACAGTATGAAATTGGCCAGGCAGTATCCATTAGCCAGGGAAGGTCGCCGGCCACCGACGGGTGGGGGTAGCGACAAAAAAAACGGCCATGTATAAAAAGCTAACGATCATTCCCCCACAACCTCTGCTTGGAGAGTTTGCGATCGTACGAGAATCGTACCACGCATGTGACCGTCCCTGTGTTTACCGTAATGTTAGTTTTAACTACTAACATAAACATACCATAAGAGCAGCGCACGTTAAAAACCCCGCCCACAAATATTGTACAATGCACCTGGGACTTTTTTTCCATGAATATCGTAAAGGAACATCGTAGGTTTGCGAAGAAACGGGTTCAATTGTTTAATTTTCAAGCTAACCTACATCGTACCACGTATGCGGCCGGGCCCTCGTGTTATGTTATCTTTAACTACCAAAATAAACATACCGATAGAGCGGCACACGTCAACTGCACGGCACTTATACTCACCTACAATCGTAAGATCAGTTGTCTGTCGCCAGAGCTTCGTTTTCACAACAGTCTACTGCGTTCAGAAAATGGACAGCTCGTAAGTGATGCGACCGGGACCAGAGTAGGTTATCTCTTGGCTGGTATTGTTGGGTTAATGATCAATCGTTCAATATTTGTTCAAACTACCCTAGTACTACTGAAGACAACCCTGCACCAATGTCTATTGCAAGCACGGCAGGAACACAAACACTACAACACACGGACAGAGCCGACTGGACATACACATCACATCTCGGCACGGTTCTGGACGGTCTCCGCGTATCCAGGAGCACAGATATGCCCTTGTCATGGTTCTGGATACGCGTGGACAACTTACCTACAATCGTAAGATCATGAGTTGTCTGTCGCCAGAGTTTCTTCAAAAGTCGTTTCGTCAAATGACAACAGTCTGCGGCGCTCATAAAATGGGCGATGTGATCGTAAGTAGACATCAGTACTAGTAGGTTATCTGTTGACTGGCTATTGTTGGGTAAATGATTGACTATGTAATATTTGTTCAAACTACCCTTCGTCACAACATACGACTGATTAGCGTTTGGTCACGTGGGAGGGGGCAAGGCCGCTGTGGTTCTCAGTATCCGACCTTTGCTGAAACGTTTTAGACTTTGCTACTGTGATCCTCTACTATGTTAGAATTGGGCGGCGATTTAGGGGGGCCCGCAGAGCGTAATCGGCCGTTTAATTCTACGTAGAGCGTAGACGGACCGCTCTAATACTCGTATATTTAAACTACATAGCGTATTCGGCGTTTGAATTGTACGTAATGCGTTGTAGCCACTTTGAATTTATCGTAAAGCGTAATCGAGGGGTTTCCGAATTCAGCGTAGAGCGTTGTCGGGACCCCCCCCCCTTTGCAGGCCCTCATTTAGTCCAGCGGCATAGCTAAAAAATTGTGTGCACTTTTGTCTAAAAGCACCAAATTTGGCACACATGTAGCTAAATATATTCTAATTATAAGCAATTTAGATATGGAGGCATTTCCATTTCTACCCAGCATATCTTGGATCTTGTTTAGTACCTAGCCTCCACCTGGCCTTTTTAAGGGGTTATGGATCGCAAAATTCGGTAAAATTAGGGCCAGTCAAAAACAATTGGCCAGGAGAGTGAGTCCTCGGGTAACATTTTCCCTAACTGCGGAAAGAAATGAACTACTCTATGGTTAGCCTATACCGCTCCTTAGGTTGCTGGAAAAATAGATATACATGTAGGTCAAATATACTAATTGGCATACCAGAGGAGTTAGTCGGCCTGAAGGACGGCAGCGAATTGGACCCTCTAGCCTTCTAACAGAGCTGGCATGGCAGTCAGTCTACTTGACCTATTTTGTCCAGCTACCTTAGGAATATCCTGGTAGAGGCTAGAAATCTCCCCTGGCAAATATTGACTTCCTAAACGGCCAGCGTACTGTTACTGTCAGGTGGAGACTAGGCGCACCCATGGGGAGACAGACAACCATAACTTACGTGACCCTCACCACGTAGGCAGTTCCTCTCTTACGACAAAGTTTCGCTGACAGTTTGTAATGTATGGGTTAGCTTAGCTGCAAGTTTCTCCAACAAACCAGGAAGACTGATGGAAGCTAAACAACGGGTCTAACTGGTTTTGTTATGTTCGAGCCACATTGTCTTGATACGTACGTAGCAGCGTGCATTCAAGTCACAGGTAAACAAGGAATAGGGGGAAAGAGATCCAACACTTTTATTATCCACAGAATTGGATACCTTTTACAAAATGAACATAAGGAACAAACCTTCCGCGGTTCTTGCAGTAGCCTTCACCCCTCCCCTGGCCTCAAGAGCGTTTTCATAGTGATGCAACACAGAAGCGACGCCTGGTGATCTAATGTTGTACTGCACGTTTTGGGTCCGTTTTGCATCACCGCATGCGCGATCTCTACATTTCTACATATGTTCTTTTATTTCGGTCCTGCATTATCTGACGTATGAACTGACACCACTCACAGAAATAACATTGATGTACACACACTCAAACGTACATATACAAGCACGCACAAACACACAGTTACAAGTTACTAACGTTATATTCGTACATGTATGCATCGTCCTCACTCTAAACTACAACTGTAGCTTGTCACCTCTGTAGCATTTCATCAACATATGTTTACAGAATATATTCCTGAGGGCGTGTCATTTAGACCACTCTCATTTTGACGTAATTCAAATAATCTAAGTTTGTACAAACTGGATGTATGTTCTGAGCCACATACACACTCATAGTTGCACATAATGACATCCTAAGAATTTTGGGCGCCTAAAAGTCCTGGACATTTGGACATGTGTTGATGTCCGTCTCTGTCGGAGTGCTAATTGTTAACAACATCTTGAAACAAACTTGATACGTAAAATCGTCATTTTAAACCATCCACGGATTCCTGAGATTGTACCTTGTCGCTTGCTATACACTAGTATGTCGCATTTCGTTGTCGATTTTTGCAGACACAACAGAATGTAAAACAAATAAAATATCACCGAACAAACGTAACGTCGTCGATCAGTCTAACTATTCATAGAACAGATTCCTGAGAGTACATATCAACAGTCACGCCGGGATAGCTGTGACGTGTCAGGATGGGGCCACGTCCGGGATGACGTCATGAGATCTGCTGTGACGTGTCGTCAGAAGTGGTGACGTGTCATGATCCCCGCTGCACTTTCGTTTCTCACTGTGGCTGGAAGGTTAATAACAAATGTGTTGACGTTATTCTTAATGACCATGAAATTGACCTGTCCTAGCGCTTTGTGTCAATAATACTTCTCCAGTAGTCGAGGTATCGTGTTCATAAACAAATAAAGAAAAATTACATTCATATTTGCATAATTTTAATATCATTATGTTAAGCATCACTTCAGCTACCTACATGCAAAAAATCACGACGATCCATCAATCGGTTCTTGAGTTATCCGCCTTTAAACATTTTTCAACTAATGCCCCTGCAGTTCCAGAGCAAGCCGCTAGGGGGCCCAAACTCACGTCACTTGTTCCCCAGCACAAGTCACAAGAGCTACCTGCCATCCAAATTTCGTCACCTAGCATGTCTAGAACGAACGCCTACGAAAACGTAACCTGCTTTGCGAAGGTAATAAATGCTCGACGTGGGCGTCATTCAAAAGTTGTATGACGGCACAGGCCATTGCACTGAGCACAGCAAAACATTGAGACCACTGCAAACCAAGGCTGTCTTCAGCTATAATTTTTTGCCCGTCCTGTCCCGTTTCTTTTAAACGTTAAATGATTATATATATATATTTCATCCTTTTTGTCCTAACTGAATTTGCATCATATAAATTTTTCGTTGTTAAATCTGCCATTTTAATTTTTTTCTTCATTATCTTGAAATTGTGATTTTTTTGACGGACAAGGTGAAATTTTTGGACAGTTCCTGGAGACAGCCAATATTTCCAACACTACAAAAACATAAACTGCAAAACACACAACATCGACTGGACATATACGGCACTACTCGGCACGGTTCTGGATAGACCACCAGACTCTTTTGCAGGCTGATTAAATAGTAGAAGTCGGCCTAAAAAGAACGTAGCTGGTCAGGGGAGTTGCAGGCAAATTGGACCCTCTATGGCCGACCAATTCCCCTGGCCAGCTACGTTCTTTTTAGGCCGAGTTCTACTGGTGTAGTCAACCTGCAAAAGAGTTTGGTGAGGACTAGTTCTGGATAGTCTCCGCGTATCCGGGAGGGTACAATTTCCCCAGTCACGGTTCTGGATACGCGTGGACTACTCAGAACAGTGCCTGGACATGTTTCTGGATAAAACACGGTTCTGGATACGCTTGGACTATCCAGAATAGTGCCTGAACATGGTTCTGGATAAAACACGGTTCTGGATACGCGTGGACTATCCAGAATAGTGCCTGAACATGGTTCTGGATAAAACACGGTTCTAGATACGCGTGGACTATCCAGAATAGTGCCTGAACATGGTTCTGGATAAAACACGGTTTTGGATACACGTGGACTATCCAGAATAGTGCCTGAACATGGTTCTGGATAAAACACGGTTCTGGATACGCGTGGACTATCCAGAATAGTGCCTGAACATGGTTCTGGATAAAACACGGTTCTGGATACGCGTGGACTATCCAGAATAGTGCCTGAACATGGTTCTGGATAAAACACGGTTCTGAATACAGCACAACAAACACACGACAAAACATTTCACACACACACTGCCCTGCCCACTGCCTTACGCTGGTATGTTTCTCGCTGTATCTACTTCTCAGCTTTGTCTTCGTCCCTGTTCACGGATCTACCCTAGTGTGGTTTAAGGGGAAAGGGAGGGAGGGATTGGATTAATAGTAAGGAATCGTTAGTAAAGCTCGTTAATCAAAATATAAAGGGGGTAAATATTCAACATTATAAAAGCACATTCGCATCCCATATTACATAGAGTCGGATAGATTCACACCAGCACCAGTGTATAGTGTTTCAATTCATATGAGTATGCATATAGCACATCATCATCATCTTGTCTTTCGTGAGAGTTTCACTGATGTTCATGACATATAGTACATTGCATTCCAGACTATCAGATATCAATGTTTTACATCTGAGCGTTCAGCCCTTTCGGCTTGGGTATGCAATAAAATTCATCAGTGTTAAAAGGTATGAAAGGATTGGCCATGGGGGAGGGGTTAGTTGGTAAGGCCACAGCAAGTAAATTCAATGGATGACATTCTCCGCAGACTCCAAATCTAATGCGAGCGGGCGAAAAAAAAACAAGGTTCTTACATTTTGAAATTTTGACTAAATTATGTACAAATGGTTTTGATTCAGTAGGAACAGTACATATACACAGCCAGCATCACATATCACTGCATCAAAGTAAGAAACAAGACATTAAATCAGAGCTTTTTCTTGTCTCCTCTCTTTATAGTTATCTGCCATCCACCTTTCGACATGGCAACAGACATCTTTGCCCATTTTGGCATGTTGACCACTGTCAGAAGGCAACGAAATGTCTTGTTTTTTTTTCTCCAAAATCAGGCGCGCGGTGATGTCATCCATAAAAATTAATTGCTGTGGCCTAAAGGAGCGAAATGAAACCCAGGGATAACAGATGCTGTTTCTCACCCCGTGGATCATCATCCGTGTGACCTCTACCCGGGCCTGGATGTCCTTCAGCTTCTTCTCCTGCTCCTTGACGGAGGTCCAGACCCTCTTCAGGGTGTGGATCTGTCGCTTGGCAACCATCATGGCGATGGCGTTACCTGGAGAGGGGGGGGGGGGGCGGCAGAGTAACAACCCAACGTTATTGTACAACCCTAACTTAAATATTAATATTATTTTATTTTATTCGTGCCCGAGGGCTAATTGCAGGAACAGAAGAAACATATGGTATATAAAATAAAAAATAAAAAAAAACCAGACAATTAGACATAGAACTACTGATAACTACTAAGAAACTACTAGTAAAACTACTGGGTTTGACGTCTTTTTTGAAGACAGAGGAAGAGAAAGGATCACACTTTTTCTATAATTTGTGGGTTTTCGGATGTTAAGAGGAGAGTAGTTTTTTTCATTTGTATATGTGTGAAAGTTTGGGTAGAATTTGGAGGTTGCAGTCAGATAATAAACTTGATTCGCACAGCAATTGTACAAGGCACACAGTATGGTATTACCGGTACATGTACATAACTAGACATTTTTCGTTGGTCGTCGTACGATTTTGATGTTGTAGAATTTTTCAAGCAGGCTGTGAGAGCATTGCGTCTGTAAATTAAAAGATAGGAATATAACGTATGAATTTGCGCGTGTGTGTGACACCACGTTGGGGTTATCAACAGGCTATTAATAATGCATGGCAGTTAGCGGCTGGTGACGTACGTCAACAGTAGGGAGGAAGAGAGGCGGGGTGTTTGTTTGGACAGTCGCTTCACCTGCCAATCATCATATTGAGTCATTGCTCCGTCTGATGTCGCACACGTAGAGGATCAATTCTCGTGTGTTTGAAATCTTCATTCAAAATTCCACTTAGCTGCCTTATTGTGTCTTAGACAGTCTAGATTATTCGAGCCTTTATGCACTTGACACTATAATATCATCGCTTGTCAGTTGTCGTTTGAGTTGAAATATGGAGCACATATTGGACCCCCGCTGAGGACCATTTGAAGTATCTGAGCACTCTAAAATTGGGTGCCATATAATACCCAGCTGTCTTGGTACGGAAAAGTCTTCTTAGTGACTTCAACTTCAGACTGTTGAACAGTCCCTTCTTTAGAAACTTGCTCCCCCCCTCCCGTGGGCAGACAAGTAACAGGCACACAAGACATTGTAACGATCTAGACACAATCAGAACTAGAACTGAAAGATTTAGAAACAGTAGCATACCTTACCTTGTAAGACTACTGAACAAATACAACAATCTGTCATGACACGGTATATGCTATTGTAAATACTTTTAAAAATTTTGCTGTTTTTAACCGCTTGACTATGATCGCCACCTATTGTAAATACTTTTAATAATTGCTGTTTTTAACTGTCTTTAATAATTGCTTTTAATGTTTGTGCCAACCGTTTTTAACAATTTGTAATGCGGCAGATCAATTCAGGGCCCTGCGGGGACCCTGCTACTCTGTACAGCATAGTATGAAAGAAATAAACCAGTATTATTATTATAGACGCCAGCGCACTAAACCATCACCGAAAAAGCTTTAACCCACGATAATGTCTCACGGAACTAAATAATAAATCTTAGATCCTCGTCGGCGGTTGATTTCTTCAAAAACCCACCAACTTTATTCCTAAAAAAAAACTTTCCGTATACGTGCACGCTACCAACCGTCACACATTACTAATAGCCTGTTAGGAAGACTGGAGCAAATTCATACGTTACATTCCTGCCTTTTGATTCATAGCCGCAATTTGTTCAAGAAGCCACCAGATATTATTCAAGTCGCAAAACAAAACCTTTATGGCACTGCGGAGTTTAAGCCCCACGACGGGCTATTTGGTTTACATTTGAAATAATTTAATTCAATGCCGGCTGATTGTTATAATACCAGGAGGAAAATAATCCACAAAACGTTACGTTAACGTTTAGCTTGGAATTGTTACATTTTAACAGGATGTCCTTTGGAAAGACATTGTATTGCCAAAGTATTGCCAAACGTGGCACACTTTGGAATTTTCATACAGAAAACTCTCTTGAGTGCTGTGGAGGTTTTAGGCCGAGTTGGGCAGTAGAAAACGTCAAAGGGAAAGGTATCAAAGACACTGTGCACTGTGATGTGCATGCACGCCCACAGTGCGCCGATATCTATCGGAATCCATTAATTAAAAGAAAGCAAATATTTTCTTGTACAATTCTAACATCTATTTCAAAATCGATTTCCGTGAAGTGAACAGTGATATTTCTGCGCTGAACTTTTTTCTGTTTTTGAAAAGAAACATAATTATATAATTCTGCGGAGAATGTTGAGATTTTTTGGGTGTTAAAGTATGGCTTTTAGGTTCAAGTCTGCCCTCAAAACACCGCCTTTTGAGAAAAAGACAATCCCCACAATAGTAAATGTAGTACCTTATAGTTGATCAGACAGTTCATGTATGTGCTGTAAATTCATTACTTCACTTTACGGGCATGATTTTGCAAATAAAAGACATAATAATTTCAACGTTTTGGTACCATCATGCGGGTAATAAAAGCCAAACATTATTAATTGTCAAATTCACAGTTATGGAAAAAAATCAATATAACTTACCTTCCCTTCGCAAAACCATGATGTCTTATATCAGAAGAGCGAGCGCGACAAGAGAAAATTCTCTTCCGTGTTGTTGGGATGAGCGAGTCAGAATGATATGCCAAATTTTCTGTGCGCCTCCTTTCTTTTATAAGAAGTATTTTTGGTGAGTGAAACATGAGTGGTGTTGGTATGCTCCTGCATGATTCAGACCAGATTTCTGCAAGGCTAGCAGGTCTGGGAGGATGTTAATTTTTTCAGCTGTTTTTGAACAAACATAAAATGGAAATCTACTGAACATGTTTGTCCCCTGGGACTGTCACGTGGTCTTATCCTAGGGCGCGGTCACATTCATAATTGTACTATTTTAATGCCAAAGGATTTTCACACAAGCTGTGATAGAACCAACCGCCGACAATGATCTACGATAAACCTTTTTTTGTTTTGCAACAAGACAGCTGAAATTTGCAAAGCACTTTATGACTATCCCAATAGTGCCCCCAGTGAGATGAGAATGGAAAGGGACAAACGTAACATTCTGTTATCATATAGAGACCCTCAAATTCGAAGCCCAAGCTTGAGAGTACGCAATTAAGGTAAATTAAGGTCAATGACCCTGGTGACTACTGAAGACCATTTCTGACGTTCTGTTCAAGTCTCATAGATGTAACTGATGGAAAAGTCATCAAGACATTAATGATGTAAAAAGGACTATGGTATGGTCTAGATCAGTGAAAAAGTGAAAGGCAAAAGACTAACACTCTGGTTCCATAGAAAAACTCAACCCGACGCTCAGTCCACACAAAGTATCCACATGAGGTCAATGACCTTCGTGATAACGTAGGTCCATGCAACAGTCTTCAATAAAGTCTTGTCTGTTGAGTCTTAATTGAATAAAATGTGTTTTGTTTGTATCGGATATCGGTAATCGATGGATTAAGTAATTAGATGGATTAGTGACCAGGAATACACTTGTAAAACCCAGACCGTAATCGTGTGCAGTTGAGCGAAGTTTTATTTAATAGAAATCCTATTAAGGAATGGGGACAGCGGACGTCATCAGCTATCGGGTCAAGCTGACCCAAATGTCTTTTTCTCCATTTTTAGGTCTTTATGACTTTTTAACGACATTCATTCTCGGAAGACTTACTATGAGATGCGTTTGCTATGCTCATGCGATCAAATTGGAATTTGTGTGACTCTTTATATTATTTAAAGTATGAATTAATTATACTTGAAGAAAACACACAAAAAAGTAAAAATTATTTCTTTATCCATGAAATTAGATTTGTTAAATCTTTACTGTCGCAGCGCGATCGCATTGATGTATTGGGTCACGCCGACGCAAATGTCTTTTTCTCCATTTTTAGGTCTTTATGACTTTTTAACGACATTCTTGCTCGCAAGACTTCCTCCGAGGTGCGTTTGCTATGGTCAGTACAGTGCAACAACACGTATCTGGTGTCTCTCGCAAGTTTCCTAGTCTCTACCAGACTAACTACGCTGGCTATATATAGGAGAATATTTGCCTGGGGAGTTTGACCACCTTGGGGTTTGACTGGCCGCGCAGTTCGGAGGGAAAGAAACTACCTCCCCGCGGCCGGACTCCCTTGGCCAATTTTACTTTCTTGTTTGCCGAATTCTACGATCCGTATTGCCGTAGAAATGCCTGGTGGAGGCTACAAGTTTCCCAAAACAACCTGCGATACAAAATATAAATACCGAAATAGCTTTTTGTGGCGCTGTAAGCATAGTGAACGTGTACCTCGGAGGAGGTCTTGCAAGAAATAACGTCGTTAAAAACTCATAAAAAACTAAATACGGACTAAAAACAGTCAAACCTGATACTTTATGGCGTCGGTTGCCCCCATTCCGCAGTAGAATCTCTACATCAAATAAAATTTCACTCGACTACACCAGATTATGCTCTCGGTTTTATGAGTATCCTTTAATCATTGACATATCTTCTTAATGAATTAATTACTTCTATGCGATATAAGAAAATTCGTTGTGACGCTAGCGCGCTGCACGACCGTGACCAAGAATGGAGGCTACAAAATTGCGAGCAAGAAAGTCGTTGAAAAGTCATAAAAACCTAAAAACGTACTAAAACAGCCTTACCCGATACTCGTCGGTTGCCCCCATTCCAGACCAGTATCTATCTCTACATCAAATAAAACTTCATTCGACTGCACAAGATTACGGTCTGGGTTTTATAACTATTTTTTTTTTATTATTGGCATATCAACTTAATCCATTAATTACTTATATGCGATACAAGCAAAACGCTATTATGACGCTACGCAACCGTAACCATTATTCAGACATGTACATTCAAACTTTCTTCCATAGTTTGTCTGTTAATACCGGTAAACTGATATTCTATAGAAAATGTAAAACTGAATACTGTTTAGAACAATACCTAGAACAGTGTGACTTCGATCAGCGCTCCGCTATTAGTAAAATTAGAATCAGTGCCCACTCCTTGGAAATCGAAAAAGGGCGATATATGAAACTACCTGTGTCGGAGAGAATTTGTAAATATTGCTCCTCAAATGCAGTGGAAGACGAAATTCATTTCATCTCTAACTGTCCATTTTATGACGACATAAGAAATCAATTATTTACCACCGTGTCCAAAATGCTGCCTTACTTCCCCACCATTCCTTACCACAAAAAAACAATTTTACTACTAAAATCAAAGAACCCACATATTATAGAAGAAGTGGGTAAATTCGTCTTCCATTGCCTAAAAAGAAGAAGTCAAACCCAGTAAAACTAGTGTCATGTCATGTTGTAGAATATATAGTATAATGTTAGAAGTAGATATAGTCTCACATACCACTGTATTTTCTTTCTATGTTGTTTGTAACTGCAATTAGCCCTCGGGCAAGTATTTGCAATAGACTTTCTACATTAAATGACGACTACAAAATTGTCTTTACTTGAGTTCATTGACTCCGTGTGGTCCCATCTATGACACCAGAGGATGACTTTGGTTTTATTGACATTTTTCGTGACAAGTGGTGAGAAAAATACTTGCCATTTTCTCACTCTCCTGGCTATTCATTTACCCTATTTTTACCGATCCAACTTCTACTGTCCATAACTCTTTGGGAAGGCCGGTGTATGCCCAGGCGTTTGTGTCTGTAAGATTTGGCAGACTTTGTTTCTTGTAGCATCACAACATGTGAGGTTCATGCCGGATGTGGAAAAGGTTGATTCAGCTTTAGATCTAAAGTGCCTGTGTTTTGCCCTGACGAAATGGTGGTTACAGAATAGTCTTCAATAGTTATTGAGTTCATTGAACCAATATGTGTCATTATACATCACATTCAGGACACCAGATGAAGATGCTGGTTTTATTTGTATTTTCCGTTTTAGTTAAATGTTGAATATTTGGGATTTTCTTACTCTCCTGCACACTTATTCACCCTATTTTTTGCCATTTGTACTATCCATACTGATACCATCTGCTGGGGCTAGCATTTATGTCAATCGGATTTGGTAGACTTTGTAGCATCACAACAGGCGAAGTTACATTCGGGATATACGTGGATAATGTTGATTTTTGACTGACAAAATGGTGGTTACGAGGAATGGTCTTCGATCGTCATTGAGAGTTTATTGACCCAATATGTCATCACATTCGGGACATCAGATGAAGATGTTGGTATTTTGGTTTTATTTGTATTTTGCGTGACGTGACGGATGTGGTTAGTGTTGATTCAGCTCCGGCCTTCCGGTGTTTTTGCCCTGACGTGACTCGCTTTAGAGTTTCCCAGAAGTCGGACGGACCGTCTGTCTGCTGATGCCGCAAAACAGCGGCGCAACAAACAAGGTTATGATTAGCCTCCTGTGCAGGCCTCCGGGCGGGTGGGAGTTTTGATACTGCGTTTTGTAGAGTTTTTAACGCGTTCTTTTAATTGCCGGCCATTCTACAACCAGCTAGTGGGCAAATGGAAACCTTTTCTGGCGACTGGTTGTAGGATGGCCGGCTATCAAAAGAACGCGTTAAAAGCTCTACAAAACGCAGTATCAAAACTCCCACCCGCCCGGAGGCCTGCACAGGAGGCTAGGTTACGATAAAGAAAACTTCACCGCAAAATAACGTACATAATGTTCAGCAGAAAAAGGAATGGATGTAAAAGAATATGATAATTATGAAAAATATAGCCTTTAAGTATTTGCGAAATATTTAATGTTTTCCTTTTCACAACTATTATTTTAGGAAGAAATGTCATTCTCATTTATGATATAAACTTTATTGCACGACAATTGTAGAAGGTTCAAAGTATGACAATATTTTTGTATAACAAACATACTGTGAGACTAGCTTACAAAAAACTATGTAGTATGGGATGAGGATGTGATTTAATAGACATTGGTCAAATATCTATTCTTAAGGCATTTTAGGATATTGTTCTCCTATTATGTACAATGCATGGGATGTCATTTGCCAATATGTGCTGAAATTTGCTATTTGAATCCGCTGAGAGAAATCCTGGTACGGACTGTGGTGATAGTACTACGCTAGCTATTATGGGATTCGACTTCTTCTTTGAAGGAATGCAGTTTTTGGTGATCTTCTAAATGACGAAAGGATGGAGAAATTGTTGTAACTGTCTGAAATAATCTGTTTCTTTCGGTGTCATAGTGAGGACACTGGCTAACAAAATGTATTTCATTTCCCACTGCATTCATTGGACAATATTTACACAATCTCTCGTGCACAAGTAGTTTTCTATAGCGGCCTTTTTCTATCTCTCACGGTGGATGCGCACTTATTCTAATCTTACACATGGCAGCTCGCTCGTCAAATTTATTGTGGTATAGGTATTTTTCCATAGAGTATTACATACATCAACATATTTGGGACGCAGAATGAGAAAGTGATCTGACGAGTTGGCTCCCGGAATAGAACTCTGACCAGGCCGGTAAGTAGGTCGGCAGGAAGCGAGACGGTATAAATACGGGGCGCGTTTGCTCAGCGCTTAGAACAGACACCAGCGCACAGAGAAGACCACAGCACTCAACATCTCTCCAGCTTTTGGAAACATGATTGGACCTCAGAGTAAGTTTTCAATTCAGATTTTTACTTTTTACCTTACTGACGAAAGGTAGTGGATGCTATTCGTGATGTATATGACCGTTTTCAAACTCTACACATTTGCTTGAGTAACTGTTACATTTGTCAGCGGCTTTATGTATTTCGCATCTGGGAGTGATACACTACAATGCTAGTAATCTCAAGGAAAGTTAGACATCCATGTAATCAATGACGAAAAGTAGTGGATGCTACCTGAAAAGCCTTACCGTTTTCAAAATCTTTCCAGTTGCTTCATGAAATGTTACATTTATAAGCTCATATTATTGTTTCTGACCTGATGGTGAAACGGTACAATGTTCGTATTGATGCTCGCTGAAAGTTAGACATCCAGCTACGTACAAATGTTGTAAAAAACACCAAAGTAACAGCGAAGCAACCGGATAGAATCTGAACTGGTCAGGCGATTCCCCTTGTACCGATTGGAGCCTTTGTCGGCAGAAACTTCGATCAGGATACTGTTAATGTGTTAGGCTGGTTTACCATTTACAAAGCCTAAATTTCAAGTCAATTCATTGATTTAAAGTGACCTGAAGTTCAAAAGTTCTGACTTTTAAGCGAATATCGTAAATTTACAGACTCCAACAATGTGTTTCTGTTGAGTTGTATTAGCTATCTTATGTACAGGCCTTGTTGATTGCAATAGAACGTGTAAAGAAAGAAATGAAATGTATTAATATGTTTTGATGCTGTTTTCGCTAGCTTTTTCCGTTTGATAAAGGCTTTCGCTCCGTTTGTAGGTACCGAAGTAGCCAAGCGTCTGCTTCAGCATAACATCCGGGTCCTCCGGAACGTGTCACATGACCTGGAGGAGCGGGAGAAGCGATTGGTCAGGATGAGAACGAGGCTGAGCCGGCTGGAGAGCGCTGGGACTCTGGTAGGTGTCAAAATCTCCAAAATACGGTGAACTAAAAAGGTCTGCATGGGGGTCCAATCAAGGATTAACGTTAAATTGACGCGAATTCATATTTCCACTAGATTCGGGTATCTCATCGGTAAGATGACCAATGAAAATGTACTGACGTTGTTGCTGCTACTAAAAACTTAAAGTCTAGCTAGCCGTGCGTGGTCGACTATAGAATTAACTTGTAAAGTAATTTTTCATTGGTTACATTGAAATGCTAGATTTCCCTCCTGTGTGTTGAGTCCGTTTAGTCTTCATTCATCTTTTACACAATAATTACCCACTTGAAAATGTACACTGCCAATGAACCACCGGTCGATTTAAAAAATCTATTTGCGTTTTTACTGAATCTGAAAGTATTACAATTCTTTAATCTCTCTCATTGTACCTTGCAGCTGAGTGTGAGAAAGCAGTCCACCACCAGACACCAATAACCGTGGAGAGGGGCAGTTTCAAATTCAAAACACCGGGGAAATCGTGTTGATATACATGTAGGACGTTCTACGTGACTGGATATTATGTATCTATTTGAATTTGATACGTTGGTGCTCGCAGTAGACAAACATGTTATATATACAAATATCCAGTCCTTGCGTTTTTGAAAGGTATAATTTGATAATCCCTATCTGTGCTTTATAGGTTCATATGTAATGCGAGACTTGTAATCACTTTATAATTAAGCTTGGAAATAATGCTACATTATGTAAAACTAGATAAGTAATGTACGTCGATGAAGGTTAGACATCCAGGTAATACGATACGCCAAAAAGCTGAGTAACTGCTTTTTGGCGTAAATAACTAATGCATGATGCTTTTATCCAATTGATAATTACCTACCACCGACTGACTATTTATCCAATGCCCTGTCTAGAAATGAGAGAGACAGTCGGAATCTATAATCGTAATCTGAGTCATGTATAAACACGACAGACGTGGATCATATTTCAGAGATGCCACTCAGAATGCTTCCTATTTAAGCGTAGGGCCCTATTACTCTCCAAGCAGAGGTTGTGGGGGAATGATCGTTAGCTTTTTAACACTTTATATATGGTCGTTTTTTTTGTCGCTACCTTCTCTGGCTAATGGATACTGCCTGGCCAATTTGATACTGTATTTTTGCCACCGAAAGAGATCTGCTTGGAGATTAGGGCCCTATAACATTTATCTGTGGAGTCCAGACGGACTCAGTCATCGTGCTATAATGTTAGCCGCTGTGTTCATACTGGTTTATTTCTTCCAGACTGTACGGTACAGAGTAGCAGGGTCACCGTAGGACCCCGAAGTGATCTGCCGCATTACACAGGTTATTAAAAACGGTTGGCACAGATATTGAAAGCAATTAGTAAAAACAGTTAAAAACTGATAGGGGCCTATCTGCGACTGTCTGCGATTGTTAGACGCACTCAGTCATTTTAATGTAATGTTAGCCACTTTGTCGACAGCTGTACACTCATATATAGATGCAGCAACACGTCGAAGACGATTGATACATACAAATAATCTACAAGCAGATCTTTTGGTGGGGGTAAGACAGTATCAAATTGGCCAGTCTGTATCCATCAGTTCCCCATCCAAGATCTGCCTGCAGTCGAAACGTCAAAGGCTATTAACACCTAGTTGTTGCCTGATCAAAATATTGGATGGGGAAATGGATACAGACTGGCCAATTTGATACTGTCTTACCCCCACCAAAAGATCTGCTTGGAGATTGACATACAAAGGTTAATTTAGACTGTTACTATTGCTGGATACAATACCTCACGCATGTATCGTTAATGGTATGACGGTAGTTAATGGTATAAGTACTTTGTATGTTGTATAGGAATAAGCCATCTAAATTATTTTCGAAGATTACGTTTGCTCAAATACTACTTTGTTTACTGTTTGTGCGTGTCTGTGTATGTCTGTCTGTCTGTCTGTCTGTATGTATGTATGTGTGTGCGCGCGTGTGTACGTCTACTGTGGTCTACGTGGTGTGTGTGAATCGAACGTGTGCTCGCGCGTGAAAACGGGACCTCTCGCCCTGCCCCCCACCACAAAACAAACACACGCCAACAATCAGTTACCCAGTACCTGTCGAAGTACCCTATTAATACCTCAGCGTTGTCAACAAGCGGCTATGGAAATATACGTACGTGTTGTCACACTGGAAACACATTACATACCCAAAACAATGGGCTTAAAATCGCAGACTGGTTTGTGCTATCTTCATGGCACTAAAACAACGCCAGGGCACCAATAATGACAGAAAGAGGTTGTCATGTCTAAAAACGTATGTCGAAAACATGTATAACGCTACATTGCCCATTGTAGAATAAGTTCCACTCCGGTAACACTACTAGCCTCAGAGACAGTTCAATATGAACGTGCGATGCACAAGTGAAAAGAGTCATTATACTGTAGTAAATAAACATTAGACAATTCGTGCGTTTCTACTGTTAAAGTCTCCACCGTCAGGCTACTACTTTAAGCCGATCGGTGTAATGTAGCCAGCTGACGCCGCGCCGCGTGCCTGCGAATCTGGTGTGTTACGCCGAAGGGCGGTTATACCGGCTATACAGATACAGATACTCCAAAGATTTTCAAGCTGATCCAAAGAGCTTCGTTTGCCATCAAACACTGATCTGATGAAACGCTCCCCCACTTCCCAAGCTATAGTAGTAGTAAACACACAATTAATCACTCACACTCGACATAACTGTACTGGCAGGGACGCGGCGTCCTAGTTAGCGTGTGCACGGACAGGGGAAAAAAATAACCACCTACTCCAACAACCAACATGAAGCTGTCTGTGTTCTGTCTGCTCGTGGCTCTCGTCTGTCAACGAGCGTTCGCAGACTGGGTCCGGCAGCCGTTTTGGTATGTACATAGAACTTATAGGTAATACTTAATGTCCAAGCAGATCCCTCTTGGTAGCAAAAGGACAGTATCAAATTGGCCAGGCAGTATCCATTAGCCAGAGAAGCTTCGCGGCCATCGACGGCTGTGGTGGTCAGGACAAAACAAAAAAACAAAAACGGCCATATATAAAAATGTAACGATCATTCCCCCACAACCTCTGCTTGGAGAGTAGGTAATACTGTAGACGTGAGAGTAGATGTTAGCTAGATATGTAGTACTGAAGAGTTTGCCATGCACTGTACCCGTTACAATTGTTGTGCAATAAAGATTGACTTGACTTGACTTGACTTGTAACAGTGGTGGAGGGGGGGGGGGCAGAAGGGGTTTTTATCTGTTTCTACTCGCTCCTCCTGTTTCTTACAGTGGTTCAAAAACCGCCGGCCCTGGGAGTTCTGGTAAAGAGTGCCGCTCCAGGGATGTCGAATTCGGGAGATTCGAGGACGAATCTTGAAAAGAAAAGGGGGAGTAGTGTGACAGTGGGGGGTTGTGGGCGGTTATAGACGCTACCAACTGACCCGGCCGATGGGTCTAGAGACCTTTTCAGCCGAGTGGTTAGAGCGTCGGCATGTGGACTGGTGCCCGGGTTTGGTCGTGGGTTCGAACCCCGGCCTGGGTTCGTGTGGCGTAGCGGCAGAGTGCGTGAGTCGGAACCTAGAGGTCCCGGGTTCGAGTCCTGACATGCCACCGATCTTGTGCCGTTGGGAAAGGCACTTTACAAGACTTTCCTCACTTCGCTCAGGTGAAAATGAGTATTGTCCTGTCATGTATTTGTCCCCTGTGTTGGTGGCGACATTAATATAAGTTGATAAAACTTGAGTGTGCCGTCACCACGTCTGGTGATTACATGTTGGAATAAAAAAAACGTCCTGGGACCAGGAGGGTTTTTACCTGTTTCTACTCGCTCCTCCTGTTTTCTCACAGGTACGACGACGCGCGCAGGGATAAAGTGGCGAAGGGCACGGTGTGGCCCCAGCCACGGTCCATACAGACGACACAACAGAGCCTGTCTCTGAACCCGGACAGCTTCAGTTTCAGCACGTCTGACGATGCGAGCAGTAACGCCAACTGCAAGGATGTGCTGGACCCCGCTATTGAAAGGTTTGCATCGGTAGTAAATCAGCAGGGCTCGAAATTCATTTTGGAGAATAGGTGCACCGGCCGGTGCACCCAACGTAAAAAATCAGGTGCACAAATTTTTTTTTTGTGTGCAACATATGAAACAAAACCTAATTGCAGGTCTTAGCTTGAATGTATAAAATGAGAGCTAACTTCAAAATCTTTTAACAACAAAGGTTTTATTATTTTTCTGATACTTAGAGACCAAGAATATCCGGTATACTATCATACATTTCTAATGCTAAAAATTCCTACAAAAATGCACCCACAGAAAAAAAAATCGACTTTTCTTGTAATTTTGGTCTCTGACTTTGCGTCAGTGACAAATGGTTGATGCTACTTGAAACGTCTGGCAGTTTTCCAAACCTACCCAGTTGGTTGAGCAACAATTTCTGTCGTGTCTGTCTCTGTACGTAGCAAATCACTATTGGTAAATTAAAATATACAAATAAACGAAGCATGGCCAACATTACCATTGTTATCCTGTTTTCGTGTGGCTACCTATGTGTGAGAATTTGGTTTAATTCATTTACCCATTAACTTGGGTGTAAATGTTGATACATGATACATAAGTGCATCTCTGCGAGAGATTGCTTTTCTTGGCTGTGTAAAAGGTTAGGATTATACTATCATGAAAGTTCATCTGTGTTGGTAGTTACAATTAAAGTTAAAACGTTTGGTCCAACACAAAAAAATTCTCTCACCTAGAGCTTTCGACCAGTCACTCTGGTCTTCCTCAGTAGACTGACCCAGTGAGGCTTCTTTGAAGTGTGACGTCAACACTGGGTCAAATGTAGACGATGTCGACCCCCGTCGCGTTCAATGAAGGGTGATGGGCCCTGATGTATATGGCTTCCTTCACCCCTCTCAAGAAATAGTCTTGTTTAGTGACATGGTTAGGATTATGTTGACGTTAGTCCAAGACTCAAGCTTTCGTTTACTGTCACAAAATCTTTGATTGTTGTCGCTGTTTTTGTGTGACATTTTCAGGTACCGCGATCTCCTGTTCTGGATCCCTGCGGGCGAGAGAGTGAGTGTGAGCGGGGACCGTGTGTTAGGCGGCCTCCGGGTGACCATCTCTGGCGGAACATGCTCCGAGTACCCGACTCTGGACTCGGACGAGTCCTGTAAGTAGAAAAATATAAATTTGATAATAATACGTTTTATTGCAAATTCATGCCCGAGGGCTAATAGCATGAACAAAAGAAACATTTGGTATAAAAACAGACAATGAGTACACATACATGTAGAACTACTGATAACTACTAAGAAACTACTAGTAAAAACTACTGGGTTTGACTTCTTTTTTGAAGACAGAGGAAGACAAAGGATTCCACTTTTTCTGTAATTTGTGGGTTTTCGGATGTTAAGACGAGAGTAGTTTTCAGAAAAATCACCAAAAATGCATCACCTCCTATACATGTATATGGTCACTAGAAAGCGCCAAGGTCAATTTAATAAGGACGTTTTGTACTTTCCTCACCTTTTCTGTTAAAATTCCTGAAACAACAACAAAAAATATGCGTCGTTTCGGCTCTTCAAATACGCTGCTTTAAAGTCCTGATAAATTTGTTTACTGACGCCAAGATATTGAAGTGTTAGTTGATATGGGGGCATTTCGTAGCCTCCATAGCATGCCAATTATGGAGGTTTGGGGGTGTTCAGGGTCTTTGGGAGCTTTTATGTGCTATTTTCTGATTGCATATGGACAACATAGCCGGCCTGGTTGAATTACCCCCGTTTTATAGAACTGGGCTAATCAGAAAACAGCCGAAGACCACCAAACCCCCAGTTCTATAAGCCTGCTACGGAGGCTAGGCATTTCGGTACAGGTCCTGTACACTGCCGTACAGCTTGCTACGTCATGTATACTTTGTACCTATACTTTATCGTTGACGTGTGTACCTACACGTACTACATGTACGTCTCAATTATATCAGGGAACACATCTAAACCAGTCAGGTGTACGGTGATACGTTTTGTACCTTGTGTAACTATTATCCATTTTACACGCACTATCTACATGTATTATGTCATTATCTCTAAGCCCTTTTGCACACACACACAAAGTGTCTGTTCGAGTGTTTGTTTGTAGTGCATAGAGGACGGTGACCGGTCAGAGCAAGTTTGTTTTGCACTTCACTGTAATTTATGACTGGTCTATAAGCAATTACGGGCAACAGTTCAAAAGAACAATAGGTACTAAAGGTCTCGGTGAAGGCAATCAAATATTGATTTACAAGTAATACGCCGTGTACAGGCCCTTGAACCATGTTTTGGTCTTCTGTATCACTGAATTTGTTAATTTTTTGTTGATCTTTTGAAATAGACACGCTTGAAGTCCCTGCAAGTGGGGACGCGACACTTCGGGCCCAAACCGCATGGGGCGCTCTTCGCGGCCTGGAGACCTTCAGTCAGCTCGTGTACGAAGTTGACGGAAAGGTACGGTCGTTTTGTCGTCTTTTAAATCTTACTTTTGCATCATGCATTATATTCGAACAAATCCAATCTTTGGTCGCCGAGCAATTATCATCGTTTGAAAGTGTTCTATCCAGAGCCATGCTCAGGCACAGTTCTGGATAGTCCAGGCGTATCCAGAACTGTGCCCGGGGAAAATCAACGTTCTTGGATACACAAGTATGCCTGATCCTTTCCCGAACCCATTCAGGCATAGCACTAGACAGGCATGGCACTGGACACTGGATTCTATTCATCTGTATTTTTCAAGCAGGTGGCAAGGTGGTGTTGTAGTTAGGTTTGTTAAATAGAGTCTAGGTTCTGGATACGATGAAAGTGCCCTAAAGGCCATAGTCGTTTGTTTCAAGACCATAACGTCGTCCCCCTATATTTTTATTTTATAATTTTCCACTGCAGCACAAGCGTGAACGTATCGCCTGGGGTAAATCTACGTTTTTGGATACGTGGAGACCATCCAGAACCGTGCCTGATCCTAACCCTAACCTATTAATTCATAGAAGTAGGCAGGCACGGTTTTGGATTGACCTTAAATGCAATGGTCGCTTCTATCATGATTAAAATCACAACGATGTGTCGTGTGGCGTCGTGTGGCGTGGCGGCAACGTGCTCGACTCGGAACCAAGAGGTCCCGGGCTCAAGTCCTGACATGCCACCGATCTTCTTCCCCTGGGAAAGGCACTTTACATGGCCTTCGTCTCTTTAACTCAAGTAAAAATGAGTATTGTCTTGTCCTGTATTCGTCCACTGTGTTGGTGGCGGCATAGAATAAGTTGATATAACTTTTGAGTGTGCTGTCGCCATGTCTAATTATGAAATGTTGGAATAAAAAAATAATGACGACGTTATTTTACTGCAGCACAAGCTGAACGTGACGACCATCTCAGACGAGCCGAGGTTCCGGCACCGCGGAGTCATGTTGGACACCGCCAGACACTTCCTCAACGTGCCGTACATCAAACAGAACCTGGTAAGGATACAATGATACATACATGTATATGACATTCTACGTGAGGAGCGGCATAACCTATGCCTACTCTTAATATTTAGGGGTCGTGTGGTGTAACGGCAGAGTGCTCGACTCTAAACGAAGAGGTCCCGGGTTCGAGTCCTGACATGCCACCAATGTTGTACCCTTGAGAAAGGCACTTCACGCGACTTTCCTTTCTTAATTCAAGTTGACATGAGTATGTCCTTTGTCATATCGTAACTGTTCTTGTGTAGCACGTTGGTGGCGGTAAAAAATAAGTTGATATAACTTGAGTGTGCCGTCACCATGTCTAGTGATGTAATGTTGGAATATTAAAAAAAAAGATATTTAGGGTTAGGTATTCCGATATATATGATGATGAGGTATTCAGAGGTGTTCCTAACCGTAGACAAGACGGTGCTAGAATGTATTTCCTCTGACTGAAAAAAAAGTGAAGAAATCATTTTATGTTCTGTATGGATGTCATCAGCAAATTAGGGTACATAGAGCAGAACCTGGTAAGGCTACAGGCTGTGCCATTCTTCGTGAGAAATGGCCTAATCTATTCCCTGCGAATCTCGTCAGAAGTTCAGATGTATTGAGAGCCTGTTCTCCAAGCAGAGGTTGAGTGGGAAGATTTTTAATCTTTTTCTGACAGTCGGCTCGATTCTGTAGCCGATTGGATACCGTTTTGCAATTTGAATACTGTCTTACCTTAAGTCTGATTGGACACTGTCCCGGGTGCTTAAAGATCTACCAGGAGATTAGTGAGTGTGTAGGTAGCCGAATAAACCCTTGGAAGACATCAGAAAATTACTCTAGGGTAGTACTGTGCGAGTCAGACAATAAATGTAGAATTCCGTACGAAGTTCGGAGGTCATCAATATTACTTCCAATAACTTTATGGCAAAAGGTAATTATTTTTCTCCATCAAAAAAATAGTCACCCCTGATTATAGTATTTGTGTACAAAATCCCTTTCGTGCCTTTACAGGACGCCATTGCATATAACAAGATGAACGTGTTCCACTGGCACATCGTGGACGATCAGTCCTTCCCTTTTCAGAGCGCAACCTACCCGGACCTCAGTGGAAAGGTAAGATGCACTGTTGTATCCTGAACTGTGCTTTATCCAGAACCGTGTTTAGTTTCCAGTAATGTTTATCTTTCATTTCTGAGAGAAGTCCTTTAAGCTAGTTTCTGTTTTCATGGGTTTCTCTCTTTACATATCGGATAATGTTAGGAGAAGGTTGCTGATTTGACGTTAATGTCCTCTAGACACCATACAAAGATCCCAGTCAGGCCCGTTTTATCCAGAACCGTGCTTTATCCAGAATAATGCTCAGGCACGGTTTCGGATAGCCCATACGTATCCAGAACCGTACTTAGAGACATACGGTTCTCGACAGTCCACGCGTATATCCAGAATCTTGCTTCGGGCAAAATCTACGTTCTTGGATACCCAGAAACTACATGTAGCCAGAACCGTGTCTGATCCCAACACTAACCCATTCAACCATAGAAGTAGTTATGCACCTACTTTGGACACAATAATGATTCCATTCTTCTCCCTATTTTCTAGGGCGCCTACACCCAGGATAACGTGTACACGCGACAGGACGTCCTGGACGTGATTGAGTACGCGCGCATGCGCGGCATCCGGGTCATTCCCGAGTTCGATTCGCCAGGTCACATGCAGTCCTGGGGTCAAGGTTACCCAGAACTACTCACAAGGTACGTCATGACCTGTACATGAATTACACAGTAGTGAAAAACAAAATGTATCGATAGATTTTACACGAATGAGGAGCAAGAAACACGATCAACATCATCCAGAACCGTGCTTTATCCAGACCCATACTCAGGCACGGTTCTGGATAGTATGCAAGCACGGTTCGTGTATCCAGAACCGTGCCTGGGACAAATCTACGTTCTTGGATACGCGGAGACTATCCAGGACAGTGCCTGATCCTAACGCTAACCCATTCAGGCATACAACCGAATAGACACGACTCTGGATATGATGCACGTTATAATATTTCGTCGCCATATAATATTTCGTTGTCATACATTGTACCTGTCAACTGTGACCCTCACTCAGGTGTAGGGACTGACACGGTCATCCTACTCGGAAAGTCTGTATCTGTATATCTGTACATGAATATGTATCTGTATCTGTGCATGAATCTGTATCTGATTGCAAATAAAGATATCGAGTGACTGCCATAGTACTTGTTGCAATCGTTGTACAATAAACTGTGAATTGACTGATCTGTTTCCCCAGCTGTAGCCCCACGAATGTCCAGGCGGACATCTACCACCTAGGCCCAGCTAACGTGGCCAGGAACAGCACCTACGACTTCATGCAGAACCTGTTCACGGAAATTAGGGACATCTTCGCGGACGACTATTTACACCTGGGCGGTGATGAGGTCCACTTCCAGTGCTGGTAATTTTTTTAAATTTTTGTTAACGTAATTATTGTTTTTTTTTTTCGTCTTCTTCCCGTTAGAAACAAATACGGCCAATGACTATGTCAGAAAATGACCTGGGCCAGACGGCTGTCACCATGGTAACTGGTGCTGTAGCAGACGCCTTGTGGTGTTGGGTTATTATCATAGACTAGGTCATTCCGTGATCAAGGTGTACAGTCGACACCGAAGATTTGGAGGTACGTAATTTACCTTACATAATACAGTCACTGAACTTCTACTAACTGGGTTACGTTATGTAGCAAGTGGCAGGGCAGATTTAGAGAGGCTGGTCACCATTGCTAACTGTATCTTCTTCTAGGATGTTAGAAATCTCTGATTTCTTGTTTGTAATGATGTGCAGGATGAGCAATGCAGAAATTCAGGACTTCATGAGGCAACAAGGATTTCCCAACACAACACAGGGATTTGCTCAGCTGGAAGGGTACTACATAAAACGGTAAGCATTTTAAAGGGTTACTGTTGTATCAAGAACCGCGCCTATACTACTACTAGTTCTTTGTCTGAATAGGCCAGGGTTAGGACGGGGCATTATTCCAGATACGTCGATGAAGGTTAGACATCCAGGTAATAAGATCATACGCCAAGAAGCAGTTACTCGAGCAACTGGATATGATTTTGGAAACGGTCAAAGTCGGTAAAAGACCGTTTCCAAAATCATATCCAGTTGCTTGAGTAACTGCTTTTTGACTATTCCAGATAGTCCCCGAGTATCAAAGAACGTAGGTTTGCCCCAGGCACGGTTATGGATACGCGTAGACTATCCAGACCTGTGTCCTAGCACGACCCTGGTTACAACACCTCTCTGTACTCAATGGTTAACCGGTCTGTTTTGTCGATATGTCAAAAGCATTGGAAGTTGACGTGGTTTGGTTGGGTTGTACAATCTGTATACTGTGTCTGTATTGCTGATCAAATCTTTGTTTATTGTATATTTCAAAGACCTCCTTTGGTGCGTATGTACAGTGTATACTATACTATACATGACCTTCCTGGAGTCATGTATAAAACCTATAACACATAATATTATCAACACAACGTAACAAAAACATAACATCAAACTTTCCTACCCATTAGATTGTTGGACATCGTGGAAGGCCTTTCTGTGGCACCGAAAAGGTCCCGGGGAATCGTTTGGCAAGAGATCTTCGACAACAACATCCTCAGTGGTGACTTCACGGTCAGTTAGTTAGTTTGTTTGTTTGTTTGTTTGTTTGGGATCTCCATTAGTGTAAATTTCACACTACTCTTCCTGGAGTCCGTAGCGAATAATCAGATGAGTATTTGGACCACCGCACACTGGGGCATGCCCCTACTCTTTTTCGAAAGATGTGGTGGGTTCTTTCACGTGCGTGGGGTGTGGCTCTCCTCAAACACGGGACCTCCATTTAACGTCCTATCCGAGGGACGTCCCTAACCGAAGCTAGGTACTCATTTTACACCTGAGTGAACTGAGGAAAATCGTGTAAAGTGCCTTTCCCAAGGGCACAAGATCGGTGAAAAGGTGGGGTTCGAAATCGGGCCTCTCGGTTCCGAGCCCAAGACGCTACCGCTACGCCACACGACCCCATTTTTCTTCAGATTTTTGTCATACTCTAAATAATTCTCAGACGCTCATTGTTCTTCTTATACGAGTATGTAGTGTAATGGTTTTGTTAGTTTACCTTCGCAGAAGGAAAACCTCTGTTTTTGGCTCTGCTTCTTCTTCTCCAAACACATAGCGTTATGGGCCATACGTCTGTCACCATGGTAACTGGTGCTGTATTAGACAATCTGTGGTGTTGGATTACATTATGTAGCAGGACAGAGCTGGACTTTGGTTTATTGGTTGCTTGAAGGGCTTGATCTTGTGTTACTATAATTAGCCTTAAAACAGAACATTGCTAACTTGTAAAAAAAAGTCCCAAAAGTTCATGAAAAATATTCCACTGTCTCCAGGTTGACCTGGACACTATAACCCACATGTGGCAGTGGAACAACAGTAAACATATAGTATTTTCCTTGTTTGTTCTTTTCCAAACACGTAAGGTCAATGACCTGAACCAGACGTCTGTCACCATGGTAACTGGTGCTGTAGCAGATACCCTGTGGCCTGTGGTGTCGGATTACATTACTACTATGAAATACTAGTACAGAGAAGGAGAGACTGGTCACCATATAAATGCATGTACATGTATTTGAATAAGTCGAATAAACAGAGCAGTAGTTTGGTAGGCCAGATCATCTTGATCTGGTTGCCTTAACCACTCGGTCCTTCAATGGCAACTTGTACATACATTTACATATAGTTTTATGAACACATATTTAGGTTGACCTGGACACTATAATCCACGTGTGGCAGTGGAACAACAGTAACTTCCAGGGGATCCCGTACTGGGACGAGCTGCCGCTGGTAACGGGGGCGGGGTACCAGGCCATCCTGTCGTCCTGCTGGTACCTCAACTTCATCAGCTACGGACGGGACTGGCCCGAGTACTACGCGTGCGATCCCCACAACTTCACCGGTACGTACTGTTCATTAATAATTTTATCCAGGACCTTGCTTTTGTAGTTCTACGCCTGAATGGGTTAGGGTTAGGACCAGCTACAGCAGGGACTGACCAGAGTACTACGCGTGCGATCCCCACAACTTCACCGGTACGTGCGCTGTTCATATCATTCTCTAGTTATATGTCTGAATGCTTATGCAGTATAGAGTAGAGGGGATGCATTCCTCAGGCTACCGACATCTTGCACACGCAGTCGTCCCTCAGTAAGACATCTGGAGCCGCATAGTTCCCGTTTAGAACTTTTAGAATAAACTTTTGGAATAAAATTTCTAAACGGGAACTATGCGGCTCCAGATGTCTTACTGAGGGACGACTGCGTGTGCAAGATGTCGGTAGCTTGAGGAATGAATCCCCTCTACTATATACTATATGCCTGAATGCGTATGGTTAGGATCAGGCACTGCTCTGGATGGTCTTCATCAGCTACGGATGGGACTGGCCGCAGTACTATCGCAGTATTATCGTATCCAGGACTTTGCTTTTGTAGTTCTACGCCTGAATGGGTTAGGGTTAGGATCAGCTACAGAAGGGACTGGCCCGAGTACTACAAGTGCGATCCGCACAACTTCACCGGTGCATATATACTGTTTATAATAATTATGTTTACCGAAGGAAAACATATTTATATTGTTTTTGCTCTGTTTCCTCTTCCGTTCCAAACACTGACCTGGTCAATGACCTGAACCAGATCGTCTGTCACCATGGTAACTGGTGTTGGGTTACGTCATGTTGCAATTTTATAGCAGTTGGGATTTAGACTCCTGTCACCACATGTATGGATGTGTTTGAGTAAAAATTAATGGAGCAGACCGTATGAGAAGGTAAACATTATGCATTTGCTTTATAATATGAAATAATCAAACATAGAGATAATAAACAATATAAACAATTTTATTCCTTTGTTTTATTTTTTGTTTTGTTTACGCCTAGGAACTCCCCAGCAGAAACAGCTGGTGATCGGAGGAGAAGCGCCTCTGTGGGCAGAGTGGGTGGACGCCACCAACCACGTCGCCCGGATGTGGTAAGTTTCTAGCCTCTACCAGGCTTCGTATCGGTTGGAAAGAGTAGAAATCGGCCAAATAGACAGATATAAAATGCCAGGGGAGTTGGTGCCTCAAGTATGCATGCATGTTCAAATGACTACACTTTGCCGCATGTCTGGGGGATCAAGTTGAAGGTACCACTGGCGAAGTCAAGGAGTAGACAACATGTATTCAGTGTGAGGGTCATCAAAGACTGGAATTCGCTGCCGTCGAGTGTAGTATCCAGTGAATCAGTCAACGAGTTTAAAACAAGATTGGATCGACACTGGGAGCATATGAAGTACAAAGAAAGCGTCTAAGATCAGTCCAAAACAGGCAGGAAGAAGCCTTACTTGACTGAAGGCGGTATCAAGTATCACTTTATGCTGCATACACATGAATGTCCTCCCCAGGCCCCGTGCCAGTGCGGTAGCAGAGAGGCTGTGGAGCCCGCAGAGTGTGACTGACTCCGCCGCCGCCTCGCCCAGGATGGAGGAACAGCGGTGCAGGATGGTCAGGTAAGGATCAACTGTAGCCTGGGGTCCGGCTTTGTTAGCTTTGCTCCGCTACCCTGCTATACCGTTGGTGGGGTAGCGATCCTTGTAAAGCGGACCAAAGCTAACAAGGCTGGACTCCAGGCTACTTCGACTGTGCTATACTGTTCGGAGATTTCAAACTCCCGGGAAGGTTTGCGTTAATGTAATACAGTAAAGAAGGAGATTGTATGTCATGGTTTATTTCATAGACCAAGCCAGTGCACATGCAAATACGGTCTCAAACGTAGAGTTTTTTTTTCACATTACAGACACACATTGTCGAGTACGTTAGTAATAAACACGTTTCAGTTAAGAATTTGCAGTTCTACAGCAAGACACTGTTGCCTGAAGGTGACAGAAATTTACCGAAATGTCAGTTGTAAAAACTTATCTTATACAGAATAGCAAAGTTCTTTCATCACAACGATTTATTTTTCAAGAGCCGACGTTTCGATGACCGTCTGTCATCTTCATCAGTAAAAACTAGCTTAAGTGCACTGTGAACTTTGTAACACCTTTAGTGCACTATGCACCAAGCAACATCTAGCGTCAGTGCACAGTAAACCAGTCAGAATTGCCCTGATGAAGATGACAGACGGTCATTGAAACGTCGGCTCTTGAAAAAAAAATGGTTGTGATGAAAGAACTTTGCTATTCAGTCGTTTACCAACCTGATGAAGGTGACTATTTACGGATGTTTCTGTGGTGTGTTCCAGACGGGGTATCCGTGCGCAGCCGCAGGGGCCGAGCTACTGCAAGTACGAGTGGAACCTCGCGGGGCAGGCCGGGAACTACGTCCCAACCGCCTCGGGCGCGCGGGGCATCACGGGATATGCCCAGCAGCTGCTGTTGTCGTTGTTCTCTTGTTTGGTCTTGACCTTTGGCCTTTCGTGAATGCGACCATACTGACCGTAGTGAAGTTGTATCCAGAATCGTGCTTTATATATCCAAACGCATGCCGATGTACTGTTCTGGATAGTCCACGTGTATCCAGAACCGTACTTCATCCAGAACCATTGTCAAGCACGGTTCTGGATAGTCCACACGTATCAAGAATTGTGCCTGCTGCAAATTCTACATACTTGGATACCTGGAGACTATCCAGATCTGTGCTTGATACCACTCAAACGCAGTAATGTACGTACTACATCTTTAATTCGACTTGAATGTAATATTTGCTTGCCACTGTTTGGTTTTTCTATTTGCATTCAACGTATAGTTTAGAACGTATGATATTTTTTTCTCTATTCTACAAAAATTAATAGGCTTTGAATCACTGGGGAATTGATATTCGTAAGCCTAGAGCTAGACTGTTTTGGACCTCAAGTGCCTTGGTCGCAATGTACTTCGGAAAGAATTCATCTGTGTGACTGGCAATTTTGAAATGAATTTTTGCAATAAAAATCCTCACTTTGTTTTCCTAGATAATGACTTCATTGCTGAGTTATTTTCATAGTGCTGCCACTTCTTGTTGAAGCCATATCAACCTAAGTGCAACTTTATTATTAATTTTTTTACAACGTGGATGCCTTGCTACGTCCCTAACCCTATATGTGTGACTCCATAAGTTTCGAATTTAGAGGGGGCAAAATATCACATCTGGCATTCAAAACTGTCACTGATGTCACAAAATTTCCAAAGGGAATGTGAGAGGGGCACAGTACAGTACGGAGTAGGAAGGTCAGATGAAACTGTATTAGAAACTGTATACATGATGCTAGTTGATTCAAGCAACGTTTTTTGGAAGAGGAAGAAATATTCCTCTTCCCATACATCCATTGAAATATGACTCGACCCTTAGTAATTTCTAACGTTACCGCCGCGGTGTCAAGCCATATACATGATCCTGCCAAATACATGACTCCGACACTACTTGGGGGTTTCCAATACACCGTGATATACCTGAGACGGGGTGTGAGGGGCTTGGTCGTGATGTGGGGGACTAAACCTTACCAAACCCTTATCATAAGTCTAACCTTAGCCGCCCTAAAGAATAATCCCAACTGTAACCCTAACACCAACTCCAACCCTAACCCTAGCCCTTAACACCTGGCCTCTCACGTATGTGGCAGCGCTCAAGAATTTATTTAGTTATTTATTATTTATCTTACAAACAAATGGATAGTCCCTTCAGCCGTTGAGACTGATTTCCAAGGGAGCCCATGGAAACATGATACAAGAAAATGATGTAACATGAAATAATAATAATTGAACGTATCAAAGAATTAAAAAATCACAAATCAAGATTTAATAATGACCAGTCAGAGGTGTTTGAGATGGCCAGAGTTAAAATTCCAAATAAAACAAACTTAGGAATAGTAGATCATAAATAAAGTATTTGAACATTGAAGTAACTGGCTCATCAACACCTTTGTATTTTGAAACTCCCACCTATCGTAACGAGATGTAATACTTTGCAACAGAACAAACATGTCGACTGAAGGGTGCCCCCAGGTCAGGTCTGTTGACAGGTACTATGGAGACGCATGTATGGTACTATATAAGCCCAAAACGCTCTATCAATAATCGGTTACCTATTAACCCAAACTCTACTCTGGCTAACAAAGTGGCCAAGAAAGCCTTGTTGACCTGATAAGTAACTCAATGATTTGGGCTGCGAGCTAGCCTCCAACACAGACTTTCTAGAGGTCATCAGCTAGAGCTAGCTTCCACCAGGCCTTTCTATATACGGGAATACGGATCGTAGAATTCGGCAAAACAGGGAATAAAATGGGCCAAGGGAGTCGGCCGCGGGGAGGTAGTTTCTTTCCCTCCGAAGGCCAGTCAAACCCCAAGGCGGCCAAACTCCTATATTCCTCTATACATTCTCCTATATATAGCCAGCGTACTTAGTCTGGTAGAGACTAAGCTAGAGCTGCGACCGCCGTTTAAATTCTTTTCGGGGCACTGTGTTTTCGGAATGAAAGAGCTAGGCTGGCCGATGCAGATTCCCTCCGATACAGCCCTCCCTCCATACACAGCTTTCCCCCCGAAAAAAACCCCGCCGCGCTCTAGCTAGCCTGGCGCCGCGTAGAATCCGCAAACGCCCACGAGAAAGTCTGCTTGGTAGGCTACCACAAATCTAAGCAGGCACAGTTTAACTCGTAGGCAAACCAAACTTCAGTAGTGGCCCGAGAGGGCGGATATATTCCAGCAAAGATGCAGCAGCGTACGTGTTTGGTGGCACTCTTAGTCGTAGCGCTCAGTCTTCAGGCATCCTTGGCGGAATGGTCGTACCAGACGTCGTGGTTTGAGAAGGCGCGGGAGGACAAGGTGGCCCGGGGAACCGTCTGGCCGAAGCCGCTATCCGCGACCACCGGCACCGGCACGCCCGCGCGGTTCTCTCTCGATCCCGGCAAGTTCAAATTGGTGGCAGACTCCAGCTCAGCAGCAGGGACTGATAAGGAGTGTAAGGAAATCGTGGATCACGCCTTGAGTAGGTATGTGTGCTATCATTAGCCTCTACCAGTCTTCGGGAGGCGACTGGAAAGAGTAGAAATTGGCCAAATAGAGAGATAACATGCCAGAGGAGTTGGTCAGGTGCGGCAAACTGCACTCTCTAGCGGACGCCGGACCAACTCCTTTGACGTGTTATCTATATTTGCGATGTGTTGGTCTATAGAAGGTAAACATTATGAGGATGACTGTTGTATCCAGAACCATACGCAGGCGCTAGGCACGGCTATGGATACCAGAATCGTATCCAGAACCGTACCTGAGGCACATCTACGTTCTTGGATACGCGGAGACTATCCGGACGGTGTCTTGCTCTTAGAACCGTGCCTAATCCTAACCTTAACCCATCCAGGCACAGAACTAGATCGGTACATTCCTCGATACGGTGCTGGTCAAGTATAAGAAGATACATAACAGAGGAACAGAGCAAAGCAAATATGTTTTCCTTCTGCTAACTTAAAGGCAAACATAAAAGCGACATGGTAAGAGTTACTAGAAGATTCTTCCAACAGTGACAAGTTTGAAGGGTAAAGATTATGACCTCTAAATTTTCGATGACTATCAGTCCATCTTGTTCACGGAGTGGCCTTCAAACTTGTCACTGTTGGAAGAAACTTCTAGTAACTGTATCTATACGTGACAAATGAATCTCTTCAACGACATGGTAAGAAATGTGAAAACAACACCCACAGGTATGCCGATCTGCTGTTCTGGATCCCTGAGGACGAGAGGGTGAGTGTGTCTGGGGACGAGACTGTGGATCAGCTGGTGGTGACAGTGACGTCACCCTGCAGCAGGTATCCTAGTCGTGACATGGACGAGTCGTGTAAGTATATGGCAGGCTGGTACTAACGTATAGTAATTAAAGGTTATACTTGATATACACAGCTATGGCGCATAGACTGTTATGGACGCCAGGTAAAGAACACCAAACACCAAAGAAACACAACCATAGAAACAAATTAAGAAGAAAATAAACTTCATCAATAAAAGACAAACTGCCTGCCTGCTTACCTGCCTATATGCACAGGCCAGTAAAAATAAACTGCTGGAAAGTAAACTTTGTTTGTTACAGCTCTTTAGAAGAGAATTGGTGGTGATGATGAATTTATATACAGGTCTTGTTTTCAGACCCATTCTTTGTCACTGATTCAAGTTTATTTACTTATTTTTTTGTCACCTGGCTAGCCTTCATCAAAGTAGTGTCAAGGGGCCACTATTTGTAAGACAGATGCCTTTCTTTTCTTGTTTACACCATTTGTAATGGTTTATTTACCTCAGACGCGATCTCGGTAGGCTACGACGGAGCGACGCTTCGGGCCCCAACCGCATGGGGCGCTCTTAGGGGGTTGGAGACATTCAGTCAGCTTTTGTACGAAGACAACGGCAAGGTAATAGAATAGAAAAGTAACATTTGCAAATTAAATGCAGAAGGTTTACCTTTGTATATGGTCTGCTCTGTTAATTCTTAACTCAAACATCATTCACATATATGGTGACAGGAGTCTCTATTATGAAATTGCAACATTATTTAACCCAACATCAGTTACCACTGATTTTTGCAAAAAATACCTTTTAGAAGTCCGTGGCAAGACAAAAAATCATTAACTCACTGATACGAAATTTCCAGCAATATTGTAGTCACCAAGTTTGGTGGCCATAGCGCAAGCCGTTCGGACGATATCTTGCATCAAAATTGGCGCAGGCACTATTACCACCCCCCTCCCGTCTAGATAGGATTATGTCCACCAGGTAATGTTTTTGTGAATGTTTGAATAATGGATTCAAACATATTTCCATCTTGTTAACATCTCTTATTTGTGTACCTGACAGCATGTGATCGACAGAGTGACCATCAGTGATTCTCCCAGGTTTACGCACAGAGGCATCATGGTAGACACGGCCAGGCACTTCATCCCTCTCCCATACATCCTGCAGAATCTGGTGGGTTCAGTTGGATCGCAATGTCAAATTATGCACTCTTACATATAGAGCTGTGTACCTAAACAGATATTAGGTACAGGTACACGGGTTTAGGTACAGGTCCGGACCTGAACCTGTACCTAAACAATTCGACCTATTAACATGTTCTTCTGAACTCCCCCAATAACGAGAAAACATTAATAAACTTGACAGTTAAGTGTATGTTTTTGTTTATGACCTTGACTTATTTGTGTTTCTGACAGGACGCGATGGCTTACAACAAGATGAACGTGTTCCACTGGCACATGGTGGACGATCAGTCCTTCCCCTTCCAGAGTACCACTTTTCCAGACCTCAGCGGAAAGGTGAGAAAACAATGCAGTAACTGTTGTACCCAGCAAAACCATGCTTTATCCAGAACCGTGCTTTATCCAGAACCATGCTTTATCCAGAACCATGATTTATCCAGAACCATGCTTTATCCAGAACCATGATTTATCCAGAACCATGCTTTATCCAGAACCATGCTTTATCCAGAACCATATACTCAGACACAGGTCTGGATACTCTACGCGTATCCAAAACCGTGCCTGGGGTAGATCTACGTTCTTGGATACGAAGAGACTATCCAGAACCATGCATGTCCCTAACCCTAACCCATTCAGGCATAGAACTAGATAGGAAAGATTCTAGATACGGTAGTATCCCTGCACTTTATCAACGCAAACTAAGTTTGACATCTCTGATTTCTTGTTGATGTCATGTATTTTTGTTCACCAGGGAGCATACACCAGGAAGCACGTCTACACGCATGATGACGTCAGCAAAGTGATCGAGTTTGCGCGCCTGCGCGGAATCAGGGTCATCCCAGAATTCGATTCCCCCGGTCACATGATGTCGTGGGGTCAAGGTCATCCGGACCTTCTGACCAGGTCAGTTGATCATGACTCTTCTTCATTAACGCCAGAAAGTCTACCATTCTATGATGACTACGATTACAATACACAGCTGTACTCAAAGGTGTTGATCCATAGGTTTGTGCACATTGCTATAGCTTGTCCGTGAAGTATTCATACCATTAATATAGTGCAATGCTGTATTGGTTACAAATATAAAAGACTGTGGATCTATCTGTAAAAAGAAGTCGAAGACGAACTCACTTTTGCCATGGCTAGGACTTCTTTTACTTATGAAGCCCAGGGTGTTGTTGCAGCCATGAAATCAAATCAAATCAACTCACTGTCTCATAACGTTTAAACGGAAAAAATAGACGTAAGAGCTGCAGACGACGTTTCTGTATGCTTTTTTTATATTCCAACAATTAATGACCAAACGTGTGCCGTCGCCATGTTTGGTCATGAATTGTTGGAAATACAACTTCTTTTACGCCGCCACCAACACAGGACACAAATACAGGACAGGAAACTACTCATGTTCACTTGAGTTAAGTGAGGAAAGTCGTGTAAAGGCCTTTCCCAAGGGCACAAGATCGGTGGGATGTCAGGACTCGAGCCGGGGACCTCTTGGTTCCGAGTCGAGCACTCTGTGTATGCTTTCTTAGGTGCTCCCCCACAGATTTCCAGCCGGACATCTACTACTTAGGCCCCGCCAACCCTGCCCGTGAGGAGACCTACACCTTCATGCAGAGTCTGTTCCAAGAAATCCGGGAGGTCTTCGCGGACGAATGTTTCCACGTCGGGGGTGACGAGGTCCGCTTCCAGTGCTGGTAAGATGTCGACTATTTTTCATTCATTTCTACTCTTTCGAGCCGTCTCCCCAAGCCTGGTAGAGGCTAGTACCCACCCAACCCACGACGGGTTTTGCTTGGTGTGGGAATGGGTGCCCGCTTTAGGGCGGTCGCTTCAGCGCATAGTCAACTTTTGACTTCAGACGACTATTTCCGCATAATTTCATACCGGAGGTCCATGGCCGCGCATAACAGAATGTAGACTATTCTATCACCGAGTATGGTTAGAAAATAAGAATGGAATATTGAAGGTCGGATCTTAAAGATTTTGATCTTAAAGATTTTGATCTTAAAGATTTTGAATATTATCTGCATCACAAAGTCAAAGGATAACTTCAATCATGCAAATCTATTTTGTCCCAGACCTCATGACCTCAATGACTGGGTTTGAGTATCTTATAATCAAACTCAAACAAATCTAAAGCAAAGATATAAACAATCTTTTGGATTACGTTTTGAGTTCTTAATGTTGTCGAAAACGTTCAAGTTTCAAATGCCTTGTCCTTTTCCAACCCACAGGATGAGTAATGAGGAAGTACAACAGTTCATGCGGCAAGAGGGGTTCCCTAACACTACAGAAGGGTTCGCTAATCTGCAGGGACACTACATAAAAAGGTAGGTACAGTATCATGCTTCTAACACAATTCTTCACTTCCCTTACATAGAAGTTGTACTGTCCGTAACTACTTGCATTTGGCCTTGCTGTGTGGCATCTTTGGGGTGTAGTCGTATCCAGAATTGGTCTCTATCCAGAATCATGCTCAGACGTGGCTCAGGATAGTCCACATATATCCAGAACCGTGCAAATCTACGTTCTTGGATACGCGGAGACCATCCAGAACCGTGCCTGATCCTAACTCATTAAGCATAGAACTAGACACGGGGCGGTTCTGGATACAATGTAATTCCCTAATAGTGCCTGATCCTAACCTTAACCCAGTCAGGCATAGAACCATATAGGCACGCTTCTGGATACGATCATCCGATCAGGACATGCATGGCTAGACTCCTTGGATCTATAGCTGAGGGAAAGTTACTTTTCAGCACGGCTGAAATGAATGGGGGAGGGGGTGACAGAAATGGCAGCATGGCTTTACTATTGAATACGAAAATGATCGCCGTTTTGTGACGTAGTGTTTACTTTGCAGGATCCTTGACATCCTCCATCAGATCCCCCAGAGGACAAGAGGCATCGTCTGGCAGGAAGTGTTTGACACCGCCAGTATCGCTAACGATCTCACGGTGAGTACCGCATGGTTACTCCAACAACAACTCCGACTTGTGATCATGAAGTAGTGTGGCGTAGCGGTAGCGTGTTCGGCTCACACCCCGGGTTTGAAGAGGGCCTGTTGTGTCCCAAACTGTGCTCGTCCCATTCCGTGCCTGAGCGGGCACAGAACGGGACACAGCCTGACTGTCCAGAACCGTGCCCGGAAGTGCTGTCAATCATAGTGATTGGCGGGAACCTACGCATAATTATTCACGCCCACGATTTCTTATATGGCTAGATTACGTGAAATTTTGCGAGTCTGTGTACAGCATGTGCTTTCAAAACGCAGTTTTCTCACAACTTAGTCTTATGTTTGGTCGACATGAACTTAGATAATAATATACGGAGACTAGCTAATACAAGAAAGAAACTGGCTTGGGACATACACATGTTATGAGAACTGTGTTCAGTCCCCTAGCACGCAAGCCAGAACGTGTCCAGAACTGTACATGTGTGTGGTCAGGCACGGTTCTGGATAGTCCCCCGCGTGTCCCAGAATGTAGATTTGCCCCAGGCACGGTTTGGGACACGCACCGAGTGTTCCAAACCATGCCCAAGTACGGTTTGGGACAAGGCATCCGCGTGTCCAGAACTGTGCGTGACCTGAGGCACGGTTCTGGTTGTAGATAAACAAACACTTTGTTTATCTACAAGTTGATTTGTTCTAATCTGTCGTCCATACGCGTCAGGACTATCCAGATCCGTGCGTGGGGTTGGTGGATAAGCAAGTGTTGTTTCCGATTCCAGAACTGAGCTTGGGTCAGTCTGCTTTCTTGGGTATACTACGTGCTATGTTGTATCAAGATCTGTGTTCGCACTGTGTTGCAAAATGATACAAGACACTCTGTTTGGACGCTACATGTAAGTCGTACAGCAGCGTGAAATGTAAAAATGAAGCTCTATAAAGCAGGAAATACGCCGATTCTTTTTTTATACTTGCCCCGACGAAAAACAAAGATGGCGGCCTAAAACAGTAAACAACACCACGAGAAGGCTCCTCCCTCAAAACAATAAGCTCCACCCCCAAAGCACGGAATGGGACAAGGCCCTTATGTATCCAGAACTGTTCCCGATCAGGCACGGTTCGGGACAGTCCCCGCGTGTCCCAAACTGTGCTCAGTCCCAAGGCACGGTTTAGGACACGCGCCATGTGTCCCAAACTATGCCCAGGCATGGTTTGGGACAAGGCACGGTTTGGGACACAACAGGGCCTGCAAGGGGGGGGGGGTCCCGACAACGCTCTACGCTGAATTCGGAAACCCTCGATTATGCTTTACGATAAATTCCAAGTGGCTACACGTCTACGCATTACGTAGATAAAAACGGCGAATACGCTCTACGCAAAATGCGAAGAGCAGTCCGTCTACGCTTTACGTAGAATTGAAACGGCCGATTACGCTCTACGGAAAAGGGCTTGCGGGCCCCCTTTGAATCCTGCACGATGTCATCGATCTTGTGCCCTTGGGACTTTCCTCACTTTACTCAGGTGTAAATGAGTACCTAGCTTCGGTTAGGGACGTCCCTCTGATAGGACGTAAAATGAAGGTCCCGTGTTTAATTAGTCTACCAGCTGATTCATCACTACGAACAACATGCCCTGCCAGGGCGAGCCTGTGTCGTCGCTCTACAGACGAAATGGCGCGAGAGAGCCATAGACTGAATGTTTTTTTTTTGTTAGATGTTAAGAATGTTAACCTTCATCAACGTATTCTATTGTAGGACTTGAGTCTGGACACGATCGTCCATGTGTGAGTAGATTGCGAACTTGAGAGATGACCATCATGAAATTTTGAATCACTTTTTATTTCTTATCATGACTTGTAATCCCTTCTCATATCATATCATATCATATCATATCATATCACATCACATCATCTTATATATCATATCATATGGTCGTCGTAGAAAAAATTGGATCGAACAAACCCAACAAGTTCAGATTCAAAACATTGGGAATAAGAGCAACCACATCTCCCATATGGTATGGCTATATGATTAATATATCATATCTGCAATTGTCCTTCGGGCGAGAATTTGTACACACATCATTATTACAATTACAATTGCATTACAATTTATACTATATCACATTGTAGGACTTGAGTCTGGACACGATCGTCCACGTGTGGGAGTGGAACGACACGAGGTTCCAGGGAGAACCGTTTAAGGAGGAGCTGGCGAAGGTTACCCGGGCCGGGTACAACGCCATTCTGTCGTCATGTTACTACCTCAACTATATCAGCTACGGACGGGACTGGCCGCAGTACTACGATTGTGACCCACAAGATTTTCAGGGTAAGGTCAGTTTTTTGTTTATTTTTTTTTATTTGCACATACATAAAACAAAACAATACAGTAAGTGAATATACTAATCGAACGAAACAGAATATAAATGCTATTTATATTACATGGGCATATCTACGACAAAACAAGTGCAGGTAACGAATAGCAAAGTTCTTTGAACACAACCATTTATTTTTCACGAGCCGGCGTTTCGATGACCGTCTGTCATCTTCTTCAGGGCAATTCTGACTGGTTTACTATGCCCTGATGAAGATGGTCAGACGGTCATCGAAACGTCTGACCTTTGCTATTCATTTGTGTATCAACCTAATGAAATTATTTACGGAAGTGCAGGTAATGTTACTGATTTGTTTTGTTTAGGGACGCGGCAACAGAAGGACCTGGTTCTCGGTGGGGAAGCCTGTCTGTGGGGTGAATGGGTGGATTCTACTAACTTCGTCCCTCGGATGTGGTAAGTCGGACTCTTTCCTTCAGAAAATGCGACGATTTGTACCCTAGAATGTATACAGCCAGAACTGCCAAAGAAAACCACTCATGGGGCCGATAACATCTGATCTACATGTAGAAAACAAAAAACGGCTCACATTGCCCTTAGCCTTCTTCCCACTGCCTAACTCGATACACATCTCGTTCCAAACTTCTACTTCAGCAGGTAGAATGTTATTAATTAGAGGTGGTGACTTGTATATTTATTAATTTTTTAGTTGGTCACTGATTATAGTGTAAGTCTTCGTTTTAGACATTATTTTTCGTACGGCCATGCCATAGTAATTGTAATATCTGCACTCTTGAATACAGTGTAACAGCCTGAGTAAGGTCGAGATATATGAGTTTTGCTACCAGTGAGACTGAATGATTTGTTTAAAGTTAAAACCTTTGGTCCAACATAAAAAGACCGCAACGGGGGCCGACATCGTCTACCAGATACCTTTGACCCAGTGTTGACGTCACACTTCAAAGAAGCCACGTGACAAGTCGCACTGGGTCAGTCTACTGAGGAAGACCAGAGTGACTGGTCGAAAGCTCTAGGTGAGAGAATTTTTTGTGTTGGACCAAACGTTTTAACTTTAAACATGTAACTGTAATGATTGTTGTACATGTATCCAGGCCCCGTGCCAGTGCGGTAGCAGAGAGGCTGTGGAGCCCGCAGAGTGTGACTGACTCCGCCGCCGCATCACCCAGGATGGAGGAACACAGGTGCAGGATGGTCAGGTAAGGCCTCTCAACACACGTGTACCCTTGTCGTTACTTCCAAGTACGGAAGTATTGTTTTGGGTGGCTGAGTTGTTGTGTTTTTTTCCATCTTTCCGTCTGCTATAATTGTCTCAGTTGCACGGTGGATGGGAGGTAATTTTCACAGATGATTGACAGGGAAGTCAAGACTAAGTTGTGGGCCTAAAACTGGCCTAAAACTCAAAATGCTTCCGGGAAGTTTGAAATGTGGGAAGTCTGAAATTTCCAAAATACCAAATGTATTAATTGTACATTGTAAATACTATGTAATATATATGTAATTGTATGTTGATGTATTGTTATGTTCTATGTACCCTCTCCTGGAAAAATAGCTGCCACCCTTGGGTGGGCAGCTAAAGGAGAGTTTTTCCTCAATAAACCTCAATAAATGACAGACGATATTGTTTCGTTCCCAGGCGAGGCATCCCGGCACAGCCCCAGGGCCCCAGCTACTGTAAGTACGAGTGGAACATCCAGGGTGACCTGCCGAACTACCGTCCGGTCATCACGTCATCTGGGCCGCGTGTGGCGGCAGCAGGGCTGCTTCACAGCGTGGTGCTGAGCGTCTTGGTCCTGGCGGCTGCCAAGTTATGGGCCTAAAACTTATAATCTCTAAGCATGTAATGGTCTCACAACGCAAATATAGGTAGATATATAAAGGAATGCTTTGTTATTAGAAAAAATACCGAAACTTGTGATTAGCCCACTCGATTGTAACACTTTCTCAAAGACCTGTGCTATCCCTTATTATTTGTATACTGATGATATAGATATGTTAGGTTTTATTCGACATTAGGTCTTATTCAACACACTTATTTTATTGTTTTCACTCTCCTTATGTATTTTGCCATACATTGTACCATGTGCATTGTCGTGCAATAAATTTCTTCTTTCGGTGGCCGCAAAAGGCAGTATCAAATTGGCCAGGCAGTATCCATTGGCCACTTCGTTGGCTAATGGACACTCCTCTGGCGAATGGATACTGCCTTGCCACCGTATGATCTGCTTGGAGATTACCTAAAACTGGCCACAGAGTTAGCCCTCACCAGGTTTTCCTAATAGGCTATAGATAGTGGAAGGAGGCAAAAATAGGGTCTAGGGATGATTGGTTTGCTCAATAACTTCTGTCTAGTTTACGAGGCGACTAAACATTCAAACTGGCAGTTTTTTGCAGTCCACACAGGGGCGTACCCGAGGGGGTCACTCACTTAAATACCGGCCTATAAATACACGCACCTACAGATTCTCTTTGTTCCCTCGTACTATTCCACAGTGGAACTCCTTACCCGGCCCGGTAGTCATGGCTCCCAATGTTGAGTCGTTCTGGGCCGGGCTGGCGGCCTGCCCGCCTTATCCTGGGCCTCCTCTCCACCCCTAACGGCACCCCTCGCGGGGTTATTTGGGGGTACTTAAGATTAAGATGAATTGAACTTTTTAAAATAAAAACCTCCATGTGAGGATAGGCACACGGGCCTACTTTCAATTCACAGACAGACATATCTTGTTTACAGACATAATATCAAATAAATGTCATGATGGGTGTAGTTCAATGGGCCTACTGCCTGTGTCTTTCTTGACGTATGTAGTTGCACATTTGCAGACGGCTATGATCATGAGTATGTTTCGTACTGTTCTAACACCCTAAAACATCTCCGGCACCTCTCATTGCCTTCGTCGAGAAGGCTATGAAATCGCTTTGCTATAGTGTGGGAGACTATGAGGCATAACTCTTGAAGGCATGGATCGATGTTCATGATTTTTGGCAGGCAGGTTACCGTTGTAAAGACCAAGGTTATGTACGAAAATGGGGCTCGTGGGCGTCTTAAGGTCACTGCAATGGACCTTTTGTTTTTGTCGTTCGGGAACAGGATAACCCGAGTATATGTAAAAGGATGTTCTTGATTTTTTTGGTAGGCAAGTTACCGTTGTAAAGACCAATATTAAGTTTGAAAATGGGCCTCGTGGGGGTCCCTACGTTACTGCAGTGAACCATGCCGTCAAGAGTTATGCTACTTAGTCTCCCACACTATAGCAAAGTAATTCCATAGCCTTCTAGACAAAGGCAATAATCAGTTACCGATTAAGCTAAACTGTACTTTGGTGCACAATGTGACCTATAGCCTTGTTGACCTGATACGTATCTCATTGATTTGGGCTCCTGCCTTGCTCAGACTTTCTAGCGGTCACCCTTGTTTCTACGAGAGCGGCTAGAGCTGCGAATGTAGTCGGCACTGTTTTCCGGAGGGGGTGGGGGTGTGGAGTGGGAACTAAGTCCGTTCAAAGCGAAGTGGGCCGATACTGAAAAGAAACCACAGCTCGTTAAAACGAACACTACCCGCTAGAAAGCCTGCACAGGAGGCTACCGAAAATGTAGGTAAATGTAGGTAAGCACAGTGTAACTTGTAGCTAAACCAAAGTTCAAAGGTATTATAGAGGGTGGATCTCGACATTTCTGTTACTGAAAAGATGCAGCGGTTTTTAGTGATCTTAGTCGTAGCGCTCAGTCTTCAGGCATCCGTGGCGGAATGGTCGTACCAGACGTCGTGGTACGAGAAGGCGCGGGAGGACAAAGTGGCCCGGGGAACCGTCTGGCCCCAGCCGAGGTCTGTGGGCACCACGTCCGCGCGGTTCTCTTTCGACCCGACCAAGTTCAAACTGGTGGCGGACTCCGGCTCAGCAGCAGTGACTAATAAGGAGTGTAAGGAAATCGTGGATCACGCCTTGAGTAGGTAAGAGCGTTCTCATCGTCAACGATCACGACATTTAATGCATGTGTTGGTGGTCTATCCAGAACCGTGCTTTATCCATAACCACGCTTTATCCATGCTATAACCATGCGCTGGAACGGCTATGGATAGCAGAATCGCATCCAGAATCGTGTCGATGAAAAGCTACGTTCTTGGATACGCGGAGACTATCCAGAAATAACGGTTAAAAATTAGTCTTTATTTCATAATATCCAAAACGGCGCCTTGTGGTCTTGCGCAAATCCATGTTCTCAGAACCGTGCCTTATCCTAACCATGACCCATTCAGACACAGAACTAGGTCGGTACATTTCTCGATACAGTGCTGGTCAAGAAGAAACAGAGCCGTGTGGCGCAGTCGCGATCGGTAGCGCGTTCGGCTCACACCCGAGAGGTCGTGGGTTCGAACCCTGCCCATGTCACCGATCTTGTGCCCTTGGGAAAGGCACTTTACACGACTTTCCTCACTTCACTCAGGTGTAAATGAGTACCTAGCTTCGGCTAGGGACGTCCCTCGGATAGGACGTTAAATGGAGGTCCCATGTTTGGGAGAGCCACACCCCACGCACGTTAAAGAACCCACCGCACTTATCGAAAAGAGTAGGGGGACCTTCCCGGTGTGAGTGGTTCAAGCCTTACAGTCTGGTCTCGGGGTTGACATCTTTGAAGAGGTGATAGTCACCTGTTATGTCAATCCTTTCACAAATGTGGTAAATCGTCATAAAAAAAACACAGAGCAAAGCAATTTGTTTGAATTCTTCTAACTTATAATTAAAGGTAAACATGACTAAAAGCGACATAGAAATTTCATCGTATCTTAAAAAGTTCAGAACATGACAATATGATTCATATTTTACTTTTATTATACTTTATTGAAAGCTGTTTCTTAATATTGGGATTTATTTTAATGAAAAATATACGTCTCTGTTGTCTGACTTACGTAATGTATGTCAGATGTAAATTAGCATGATACGTCCGCAGGTATGCCGATCTGCTGTTCTGGATCCCTGAGGACGAGAGCGTGAGCGTGTCTGGGGACGAGACTGTGCATCAGCTGGTGGTGACCGTGACGTCACCCTGCAGCAGGTATCCCAGTCTGCACTCGGACGAGTCGTGTAAGTACCTCACAGTATGTGACTAAAGAAAAAAGCACATTTATTTAGTTATTTAGTAAAAGAGTGCACAAGACGAATTAAAAGAAAAAGTGGTGATAATGCCTAGTTTGTACTTTTAACCCCTGAAAAAATTATCAGCTAAGGAGTTGTTACTAGTAGTTACAAAATGAGTTAGGGAGGTGTTAACTCATTTTTCACTAGTAAGAGGTTGTATGAAATCTCTTACTAGACAGTACAAAAACTAGTAAGACGTTACATCGATTCTCTTACTAGTAGTGGAAAAAATATTTGTTAGCACAGGTGCTCAGCACGTGTTTGGACGGAAATACTTATTTGAACTAAAAAATGAGATAAATAGCTGACTAAAGCCCAGTGGACTTTGCACTGACCTACTCCTAACCATGGTTGGGAGTACGGCAATGGCAGAGGCCGTGAATGTGCGGGTTAACGTATCGTATATATATAGAGAGAGGTTACACTCTCGGTGAAGGTTGATTTACAAGAAATACGCCGTATACAGGCCATTGAACCATGTTTTGGTTTTCTGTATTACTGATTTTGTTAATCTTTTGTTGATCTTTTGAAACAGACAGGCTTGAAGTTCCTGCAAGTGGGGACGCGACACTTCGGGCCCAAACCGCATGGGGAGCTCTTAGAGGGCTGGAGACCTTCAGTCAGCTGGTGTACGAAGACAACGGCAAGGTAACAAATAAGAGAGTCGGAGTTTATTCTACAGTCACTATTGTAGAATAAATTTTGATGACTGACACCTTTAATTAAAATTGTTTCCATATGCAACTAGGGTCTACAATTCAGCTCCAAGGCTGTCATGACTAGCAAAAATGCGTATAGGCTAAATGAATGATAAAATCTGCAGTCTACTATTATAACAAACACTACGATATTGATAAGACTTTTAGCCATCATCAGAAAACCAAGTGTACCTGGTAGAAACCTGCTTGTACAGAGCTGTGCCAACTCACTGCCTGTCTGCACAATTTTATGCCTTTGGGTTTTTTTTTGCCAACCATCAGCCTGTGAGCTTGGATCTTTGTTTAGTGTTTGTTACTATATTATGTATTTTTGTCA